AGATCCCCCTAGATGATTGATTGTAGCAGCTGGAACAGATGGCAGGGTCCATCCCGCACTATTCTTAACCCGAAACTGAGCCAACCGCCAACCGCGCACACCGGTTCTTGTGCCATGCAACCCGACGCAGCCGGCGGCCTTTATGAAGCCATTTGTTGAAATATGACCTGTGCGCCTGCAGGGGCAGAGGTCAAAGTACAAAGTGGGTGCAAGGTTGGGGGATCGTCCTTCCTCTGGCTTGGGGTCCGAACGTGCCTGGCTTCTTCGGCTTGAAGCGGCGCTTGCTACTTATCAGGAACTACTACCACTATTTTTGCTATGCCCTCCCTGCAAGCCCAGATCCAATTCCGAAGACAGGATCCTCTTGCAACGCTCCGCGAGCCATTGATGCCTGAGACTTATCCATTTGGAAAATGCCACACCTTCGGGCAAACCTGCGTCGCTGCGCGGATGTCCTGCAAGCTTTCGAGACTGGCTGTCGGGATCTCAAGCCGGGGGTCGCGTCTCTCTGATGGCAGAAGTCGGGCTCTCAAGCGTCGGGCGATCGGTGGAAATGAGAAAGGTATGGGGCTGATTGCGGGGTGACTTGCACAGCAGGCTCAGTGGGCTTGAAATGCGATGGTATTCGCGATGCAGCTGCTGGCTAGGCTACTCGTCAACGAGCCTAAACTACTCTCCATTTCTGGGAAGGATTCGGTATCACTATCAGTCAGTGTCAACTCAGAATGGTTCCCCAATGCTGTCCGGCAGGAACACAAGTCAGAAGAACGAGACGTGCATCCCTCATCAAGCACAGCATTCAACCACGGCCACCTAGCGCGCGTCGTGATGGTACGTTCTCATGGACTCACTTCAAGCTGCTTCGCGTAGAGCTGCGGCTAAGTGCTTGATGCGAAGCTTTGGCTTGCTGCTCGTGGCTTGAGATCTGGGGTCCTCTGCGGCAGAGCGTAAATGTGTCGAAGCTTTGCTTTGTCACACCCATCCCGAGGGATGAGAAGCTTCGACTCCAAGCCCTGAATCGAAATACGCCAAACCCGAAGACCGTGTGTAATAAATCCTTTGCTGGCATGCTGTGACGTGACCATCGAAGCTCCCAGACAAAAAACTGAAGGCCCTGAAACCATGTGCAGTATGAGGTCCGTTGCCCAGCTGATCAAGTGTTTCGCTGTATCCACAACGTTGATGATGCCTCCGCGATACTGCAGCTGAGCAGGAAAAGTTGAAAAGCTACTACCCACCCAAGCCAAAGCCCGGCAGGGAACCGCACAAGCACGATCACAACCTAACAGGCAAGCGAGGTCCGGAAGAACCGTTTCACCGCATCGGCTAGCAAACCTCTGTCCATTGCAGTGGAAGGTGCAAAGGAAAGCATCAAGGTCGCAGTTGCCCTGAGATGAAACATGGGCTGCTTGCTTCTTAGTCTTCGAGCGTCTCTTACAGTCTATGTTGAACACCGGGTCAGAAACTCTTCGAACAAGTCTGAACACTGTCGCTGCTCGACTGTTGATTGCAGTTTGCGCTTCCGGTTCACATGAACTGGTGGGTAGAGTCCGGGTAGAATTGTGTGCAGCCGTTGTCCCCGGTTCAGCTTTATGCAGTTCCTGAAACATCAGCTTGCTTGTTGCCTGCTACAAGCACAACAGCCACCACAAAGTGGGCACACAAAGTGCAGTGGGGAATGCTGGATCATCTGCGAAGTTCGAGAAGAACAAGACAGCATCCATTGGCTGCAAAATGTCAAAGACGATCCAGCAAGAGTAGCTGTAGCTCAAGCCTTCAAAACTGAAAAAGCTTGACTCCTGCCGTTTGGCGGGTGTTGCACCTGCCTAACAACCTTGCTTCAATCTTCCAAGGAAGCAAGTACAGACATAGAGGGAGCATCTGAGCCAACAAGGGCCCAGGGGCTGAAGCTCCGATCAGGTCCTGGGCGATTCCCATGCCATCCTCGCAGTTATCCATTGCCTCGTGCCCAAGTGGCGGACCACCGGAGCCATAAAACATATTCCGATCGGATCCGACAGTGATATTCTGATGAGCATGCACACACGTGTAGGAACATCGCAATCCGTTCGAGCGCGTGAACTGCGAATCTAAAAGGCTCTGTCGTGGACTTGCTGCCAGGCAACGATCTGCTCCTTAGCTGCATGTCGCACGGACAGGCGACCGAGCAGTCCGGACATTCGAGGTACACATTAGTCTGCCTAGGTACACAGCAAGGGATAGCGGAGCGAGAGACAGAGAGCGGGGCGGGGGTGAACACAGAATGCGAGAGACTGTGAAAGACAGGGAGAAATTCAGAGACAAAGAGATAGGAGGGGGGAGAGATAGGGAAAGAAGGAGAGAACTTCAGACAGAGTGACAATAAATATTCAAAGAGCAGGGAGACAGAAAGAGTTAGAACTCGGGGAGGGGCAGCGAGGGACGTTTGCCGCGCCGGGCGTCGCAAGTGGTGACTTCGCCGGCGCAGGCCATGGCCAAGGCTGCCGAGGAATCTGCGATGTCCACGATGTCGGTCTGAAGGGGGGGGAGCAGAAAGGAAGGGGAGGGGGCTGCCCACCGAGCTCTCATGATCTCTAGACCCTTCATGGAGTCAGTCCGGGTCGCCATGAAGCCGAAGATGTCGTTGGCACAGTTCGGGGGGTCCTCTAGTTCGCCTATGCAGTCGCCAGTCATGGCAACAACCTGGGATTGGCGCTTGAAGCTGAAGCTGGCTTGGCTGGCTTGGCTGCCAAGGCAGATGGAAAGCTGGCAAGCATTCCAAGAGCATCGAGCTGCAACTGGCCCGACCACTCAATGGCCCAGTCGCAAGGCCCAGGAAGGCAGACCATAGGACCCCACTGCTTGGTGCAGCCATCATATATGTCGATCAAGGTTATCAAGGGTTTGGAACTTTGGTCGGAGAACTCCCGTCTGAACTGCCCCGAATATGTGCAGAACCCTCCTAATTACGCCCAGCAGCCTGCTGCGCAGCGTCGATGAAGTCCATCATGATGGACATTACCCTGGATAAGCGGACGCATTGCAGCATCTGCATAAGAAATTTGAGGACCATGACGCATCATGACGCCTCGCCTTGTTGCGCAGAAGGGAGGATCCCATAGTGCCTCGGATCTTGGCAGATGATCGGCAGCCAGAAATGTTCAAGAGGCGTCTTCTCTGGCACTGAACCTAACTGCCCGCATACAGCCCAGTTGCAGACGGATGGTTGAAGAGGAGCCAGTTGACTGTATTTGGACGCCAGCCTCAGTTGCTGCCTACTCGTCCCGTGGATCAAGGCAGTTGGTCATCATGTAAAAGGGGCCAACTGGTCAGGAAATGAAGCCCAGAAAAGTGCACTCTGAACGTGCTGGCACTAGACGGCAACGGCAGGCTGCAACGTGAACACAATCCAGGGGCCAGCCTCTCCCCTGATCCCTGTCTTACGACTATGTCCTGTGACTGACGGTGACCTGCAACCTGAACTGCCAAGAAGCTTTTGGCCCTTGCCGGCGCAAATCTCAGAGCCAAACTGCGATCGTAATCGTTGCTTACTTAAGCTGGGGTTAGAGGCGATGTAGATAGAGCACGGTCTGCGTGCAACTGAGAGTCACGAAACGGCCGCTAGGTACATCTCGAGGATTGAAGGAATACGAACAGCTCTTAGTACTGACATGAGACTCACCCTTCTCTGCCTTACAGCCTTGGTGCTTTGCTTGCGGAACCTCCGTGCGGCATGCTTTCAGCGCAGTTTTGGTCTAAGGACTACCTTCTAGCGTGTGCAAACAGAGTTTGCGACAAACTCGTCCGCTCGTTTGGTTTACATGAAGTCTCATTATCCAGGCCTCGGAGATCATCCAGACCAAACAGGCAACCCCGAAAATGTCCATGTCACTGTCAAACCCCGACACATCCATGTTCAATCCCACTTCGAAACACATCCACAAGGGCGAGTGCTCAGAATCTCTCTAGACGAAGTTTCGGCCTGATCAGCCACAGCTGCAGGCGACGCATTGCGAAGGGAAGGGCCGAAGGGCCCCGTGCCAGTCTTCGAGAGCAGCGTGGCACGAACCGGAAACAACAATAGCGTCAGGCCTAAGGAATCGATTGATGCAAGTTCTAAGTGTCTGGACAGATCGAGTTACACGAGCTCGAGGCTCATTGCGATGCTCTGTTCTTGGTGAACGCAGCTTTTTGTCGACAATGTCCCTTGTTGAGAGTTGAGAATATAATACTTGTGTTGGAGCCGGAATGGAAGACTCGCGGGAGCCAGGCTGACGGAACCTTCGTGCCTTGACAAAGCCATCCCAAGGATGGTCTGGCGAAGGGCAGATTATTGCCTTCTTTCTTCGCCCAAGCTTATTGCAGCCAGAGGTGGGAAACTCGAGCCAATCACAACTACTAGCGCAGTATGGTGTGGCTTCAATCTGAGCTTTGAGATCGTCGACCATCACTAATGCTGAACCTTCGGCTCGGCGACAATGTCTTCCGCCTGAACCTGATCTCTGAGAACAAGACATGGAGAATGGAAGCCCTTCGTTTCGTTCCATCAGGGTCAGTGTCCGTAAACAACAACTGGAGGACCTGCTCCTAGCTACGGCATGCTACGGTGACCTCATTGGGTCCACGCTCGCGCTCACCTAGTCTGGTCCTCTTGTGTGACTTCCGATGTTCGTCTAAAGACATGACAATGAAGGCTCTTGCTCTTGGCCACAGAAGTCCCGAAGCAAGGAAGACATGCTCTCGGACATGAGTCCTCAGCTCCTCAGCACAGTTTTAGACGGGGCTCCTGCGTTCTAGGCATACTCTGTGAGCCGAAACCATCCCTGGCTAGCCCAGTCCGGGCCGGTGAGAATTGGACCAAGCGCTTCGGAAGGTCATTTGGTAAAGGGAACAGTTTTCGGCGATGCGGAGTGACTCTGCTCAGGTGAACCTCGGCTCTCTGAAGCAGATAAGAGCCATCAGATTCGGCTGTGGATGCCAATACACCGACATGCCTCACCACTGAGCCACCGGCCTGGGTGCTACTCGAATGCCTGTCCGAGACATAGACAGGAGAAAATGCATAAGGTCTTTGTCGCCGAAAAGCGTCGCTTCTGTGTCTCACTGCCGGGACATAGCTATGCCGCTGTGCTGAGTCTTGCCACGAAGATCCGGCCTGAATGCCCTCCAATTCTTCCTGGCAGCTTTTCCGTCTTGCCTACGTAAGGCTCGTTGAGGCATAGGGCTATAAACTGTGATCATCACCCGGTACACTGACAGGTGTCCTCGGGCTGACCCAGGTCACCCAAATAGAACACTTCCTCAGCTTTCGGTCCAAAGAGTCCGAGGTTCAAACGGATTTGTGAAACTGCCTAACCGAGCGTACAGTAAAGAAGCATTCGACTGGGTCCCTGTCCCTGGAGCCCCAGCCACAACCCGGACCAGACGGGACAAGACGTGACTCGCACTGATCTCTTCGAAGCTGGGACTCTTCATCTTGCAGGGAGCTTAATGCCTGGCAAAGTCCTCAAACGCATCCAAAGTCCAAAGTTCAGAGAACCCCGACCTGAAATGCAGGAGAGCTAGCAGCCAAGCATCCACCTCGGTGTCGTGCAGTGTCATGAGCTGGCTCGGCTGCTGGTCCTGGCAATACACCACAGATCATGTCTTTCTGCGTCATGATCTGGTATTGATGTCTCGGGGCTCATCCTTGGACCTGGGTAAGCTCTTAGCATCTCTTAGCCTCAGGGCACCCGGGGTGGTGGGACATCGAAGCCACCGATTCGCCAACTCCGTCCGCATTTACCAAGTCCGCCTTCCCAACAGACAAATGCCATAACTTGTTGCCCATGCGCACTCCATGAAGCCGGCGGCACAGCTAGATAATGTTGAAAACCACCAAGATTGCCTGCGCCGACAGGCGCCTTCCCTCGGAACGACGGGCACCACGCATTGCGTTTGGATTGATCCTCGGCGAAGCCCCAATAATGTGAAAGAGCGAGAGACAGGGGGAGAAAGACAGAGAGCGAGAGACAGGCGGGGAGAGAGAGAGAGAGAGAGAGAGAGAGAGAGAGCGAGCGAGCGAGCGAGTGAGTGAGGGAGTGAGTGAGTGAATGAGTGGGGGCCCGTTGAAAGCGTCTGAAGCTGCAGCACTGCGTGACATGCGCCTCTAGCTTCAAAGCAGGCCCTTCAAATCACGTAGAGCCACAGGTTTGAGGATTGTGGGAGCCACGTTGGGCATAATGGCCTTCCGAGTCTTGGCCCGCTGGAACGCAGATCTTTGTCTCCTCTCTCTCTCTCGCTCTCTCCCTCTCTCTCTCTCTCTCTCTCTCTCTCTCTCTCCCTCTCCCTCTCCGAGGATCCGGCACGCTATTTCCATTTGGCAGAACATAGGCACCTCGGATGCTGACTTTGACGACACTCCGTGATTGGTGTCTGAAAAGGGGTGGGGAGGTCTGAGGAGCGATGAGGAGGGGTGACGAGGGGTGAGGAGAGGAGCGGGGGTGGGTGGGATTCGGTGGGTGGAATTGCGCGCGGAGAGGTGGAGGAGGAAAGGCAGGAGTGAGACAGAACGAAGAACGCTGTTGACTCTATCCTGCTATGCCCAAGGCGCTGCCCACCCGCAGGACACCCGCATTGTCCATAGCAAGAATGGGGCCATTGTGCGTGATGTCTATCACGCCAAGCCTGGTCTGAATGGAAGCAGTGCTTCGAACTCGACATTTCAAGATTCTGGTGAGCGCCTTTGAAGCCTTCAACTGCCTCACACACACACACCAACGTCAGTTTGCATGAAACCGTGGAAACGGACAGTACCTGCTTGCACAGATATGCCTTGCCATGCGAGCTAGACCGATGAACCCACTCGCCTACATCAACATCGTGATCCCAACGAGTGTGACTTACTGTGTAGGGCATAGCATCTTGTAGAGAAGGCTCCGGCCTTGTGGTGGCATCTTGGAAAGTCGCCAGGTGGTCGGAGTTGAGCTAAGTTCCGTCAACTCGACATGCTGTTCTAGGATCATGCGCACAAAAATTCAACCAGGTGCTTTCTCACAGTTTCGCAAGCTCACAACGGCCTACCGTAAGCAGCAAGCATCTATGTTCACAAAGCTTGTCCTGCTTCGTCCTACGATTTGGCACCCGCTCATCGTGGGAATCATCCAGCGATCGCGGATGCTGCCAAGCGTCTTCCGCTCTGTAGCTCCTCCCCAGATGCACTTCCTGCGCTTCCGCCTCGAGATCGTGAAGCTTCTGAACGCAGGCGTCGCTTGAGGCGACGCACGATGCGTTTAACCGAAGCCCGAAGCCGAAGCCTGCCTTGGTGAAAGGTCCTGGAACCCGCACAAGAGCCTCATGTAACAGCAAGGATCTGGCCAGAGGGGCCCGAAAATATAATTAAAAACATGCAGGCTTGCCGACCCACTCCAGATCTAGCCGTGCTTCCAAAGCGGTGCAGTTGGGACCTGAAAAAAACCTTGTTACGGAAAGGCTGCTTTGCATAGAACATAGAAATGAAAGACAACCGATCACGGGGCCTCGTCTCCCTCCGACCTTGGAGCAGCTTCAGTGTCTCTTGCAACGATGCTCAGGCGCAGGAAAGCCGATTTGTCCACGTGAAGTTCAGGCGGGCTTCAGCACGGGCCGCTGTGGCTTGGAAGCTACCTAGAAGTGCCGGAAGGACCATAAGCCAGCGGTGAAGCACCCCGAACCGATTTGCTGAGGCCCCTGACGATGCATTGTCTTTACCTTCACGTGGTTTCGGTGGGCGACAAATTTTGCCAGTCCCGGCGTGACAACTCTCTGTTCTAAAACAAGCTCTCAGTCGACACGCTAGAGAGATCCATCCGTCAAGTGGTCCGGAACCGCCCTGTGCTCGCAACAACACCTACATGGCACTTGGACTGCAATCTGAATCGCAGAATCCTGGAAAAAGAGAAGTGTGTCAACTGCCGACGCTCGGGCGTGGCCTTGTGGCGGCTCCAGGATGCGATACTGGAACCATTCCGGGTGTTCTGTGGCGAATTGGGGTCTTGGTAAGGGGTGCCTTCGGTTCGTATAGCAATTCTTGGCATGACAGGGGCTCTCTCATTCTTTGCACCCACAGGTCCATCCCCCGGATTGAGGGAGGCTTGTTGTGGCCGAAGTTTCGGTTGGCTTACCAATATAACGAAAGAGGGTCTTACGACAAGAGTGTGCCTGCGACTTTATCTCGGCATCAAGTCTTCCCAGACAACACCCGACTAATAACATGGACCTTTACACGCAGTGCCATTGGAGCCTCATTACCCCTGATGCCCTCGACTAGACCCCCAAAGGCAGAGCCTTGCTTCAGCCACTTCTTGAGGAAACCTTCGCGCTCCTCACCAGGCGACTTGCAACAGTTTGGGACGAAGGCTTTAAGGCTTCGGAGGTATTGTCAGTGGTGCTCCCCGAAGGGTGGAGGCAGAAGGATCTGGAGCCGTAGCCGTAGGCCTGAGAAAAGGTTGCCTGACAGTTGCCTCCAGGTGCTACAGTGAAGCCGTGACGCACAATAAAGAGCCTCGATGATGAGGTCTCCGGCACTTGCAAATGCCCCAGCTTTGAAATTCAAGAACGAGACAACCGCTTGGAGGCAAGGAAATGCCGAAGTTCCTAAAGGCTGGAAACAATTCCTTTGCGCGCGCCTGGGGGCAAGTGTCGACGGCCGACTTCGTGTCCTGCAGGTGCACGGCATCAGACCAATCTTTCTGGACTCCAAAATCTGCATCCCGACCGAGACCCAAAATCTCTCGAGGAACTACAGTATTGATTATGACCTGCCATGTCCAACTCCCGATTGCATGGGAATGACATATGATCAGTGCGGCCTCTGGAGCAAAGTCGAATTTCACATGACTTGCGGAAGGTGTGCAGCCACGCGGGCTTCAATCGGCGCGCACTTTCCAGTGCTGACTCAGTAACATAAACTCAAAGTCGTGATTATGACGGCGAGAGATCCAAAGGTCCAGGGCCATGGTGAGCATATCATTGAGAGCATCGACGACGTTGATGAGGCCTGGGGGAGAAGTCTCTACCGTCGAGTCTTGCAGCTTTGGGGGTGCAATGGGCTTCCGTTACCAAGGCAAGCCTTGCCAAGATGCTAGTGTCTAGTGCCCTGCTACTCTGGCGGCCAGTGCAACGAAGAAGCAAAGGAAAACGTCAACGTCGCAGTTGCCCTCGGCGAACACACGAGGCTGCCATCTCTTCGATTTTCGGCTAAGTGCAACGGTTCGGTGTTCAGGCGTGGCCTGAGAATTAGTTGAAGCTGAAGTACAAATGAAAAGCCTGATGCGACAAAAGCTTTTAAGCTTGCGACACGAGGGCTGGAGAGCAGGGACACAGAGGGGCGTTTAATGTGTGGAGTTTGAGGCTTCGCAAAACCCTGTTCTGACTGTTCTGACGTTAAACGCGTGACCCCAGTTTGAGGCCCGACTACGTCCTGCCATTTTGCCTTTGCCTATTTGCAGGTCGAGGTCGGGTGAATCAGCCGTCAAACAAGCCACATGAGTAGCAAGGACCTTGCAAGTCATAAGCTTAGTCGCTGCAGCTCCGATCAGATCTTGCGCGACGGACATGGTGTCTTCAGATGCGAAGAATGCCTCGTGCTCAGGAAGGTCGTTTAGATCAACGACTGCAGGGTTGGAGTTCTGAACAGGTTGCTCGAAGTGTGCACTGACCCCTGTGAGAAGCAAGGATACAGCTCAAATCAGCTCAGCATACTCTAACGACATCCGCTTCATGATGGGAGAGTCGGCCGTGCAGCAGCCATGATCTTTCCAGACCTTGCCCAACTGCAAAGTCCTCAGCATGTCCTAGTCCTATCTGCTTCCAAGCCGCTCCTTGCTCCTTAGCTCTACAAGTTGGAAACTGGAGTTTCGCGACGAAGCTGAAATACCAGCATGCGAATTGCTCCTACCTGTGGTCTCCTCTGAGATCCTGATGCATAGCTATCAGGTTTTGAGTATCTCCCATGATGGACGGCGAGGAAATGAGATGGGATTGTCCGGAAGTGTGTTACCGACAGCACGGACAACAACCAACCTCGAAATACATGTTTCTAACGGCTCCCGATGTCTGTGCGCTGTACGCGTGCGGTCACCTGAATAGTCCTGCAACTCGGAGTGGTGTTGACTGGAAAAACACAGCATCCCCGCAGATCCAGAGTTGTTCGTTTCGAGCATTTCTACCAGGCATCGCACGATGTCGCTTTGCCAGCGCAGCCCATCGCCAGTCCAGCCGCACATCCACAGGCATCCGCGATGTCGTACTTGGCTGAGGCATGCTGCATTGGGGCTACTTGCTGGAACAGTTCTTTCTGTCTAAAGCCCCTTTTTGTCAAGGATCCTCAAACATGTCTGGCCCATCTTTGGCTCACCCTCTGTGTTGAAACTCCCGGCCTATGACGTTCTGTGGAAATTAGCAGATATGAACTCCAGCCCTTCTGGCGATCAACCCCTGATGCTCCTAAGTCCTAAGCCTGAATTGACACTGAGCACGAGGAAAGCGAAGATATCGTTGGCGCAGTTCGCAGGCTCCTCCAGCTCGCCCATGCAATCGCCGGTCATGGCAACCACCTCGGGTCAGAGTTTGGGATAAAGGGCTTGGGGTGCAGGGTTAAGGTTAAGGCATGTTGCCTTAGGGTTTAGCTGTGAGCCTTTGGCTTAAGAACGAGGCGAGGCGGGTTTAGGGTTTGCTGTTTCGGGTTCGCCGTTGGGACTCCCATTTTATTGTGAACAGGTGCTTCATGCTTCAATGGCACTGGATTCGGTTTTCCCCGAAAACAGCCCGGAGATTTCTTGCAGATATTGTCTGTTCCTGCTTCAATATGAACCAGGAACCTGTCGCGCCGCATCGACGATATCCGAGATCATGCACGCGGTCCTGAACACCAGATACTCTGACTCTTGAAACTGGCAACACTGCATTTGCATTACCCTAATTTCCCTAATCCCAAGCGAAATCGAAGATGGCTCTTCTACATCCGGGTGGTTGCGCGAGCATCCCCGAGTCGATGACTCGGCCAAAAGCAGCTTCGCTCGGTTCTCTAAGGCTTCTTCTGAACCCTAAGATTCTGGTTCTGACCAATCCGTGAGAGAACAACCTGATCCCATGCACTCTTCCAGCTTAAAGGAACTAGCTGCACAAAGGCCCAGGACGTCCCAGGACATGGTCATTTCGCCCAGAGTTGTTTGCGTTTGCTGCCCATTCCTCAAACTACATGCCCAAATAAGCCGAGTGAATCGATAAATATCCAAGCATGCCCCACGGAGCTTCTTGCCTCTCGGCACACCAGGGGGGATCATAGACTTCCTCAGTTTTAAAAGCTCTGCATCGGCTGCCGTGAAACAACCCACGGCCTTGGAATTTGTGCCCAAAGAGATGGCTCGAAAAATTCTGCCCAGTTGCGGTGTTCTGGGCCCAAAGGATCCAGCCATTGATGGTACCGGGACGGAAGCCTGCAGCATGTGCGCCGGTTCAGCTTTCCAGGTTGAAGCTCTGCAGACCGCAAAAACGAGGTTCACTGCACACCCCAATACACATGTCTTCGGCAGTGTGGACTCAAGAACAGCCTGGATCCGCTAAATTCTCGAACACTTCGACGGCAACAACCGTCCGCCAAGTGGCTTCTGGCCCATGCCGGTGCAAATGTCGAGGCCAAACTGCGGCACAACGTGGGACAGTTGAGTTGAAGTGTCTGGCTCTGGCTAGCTGGCTTCCCATCAGTTGGGTTTCGCGTGCAAAGCACACGTGACACGGCAGCAGGAGGTGGTCAATATTCTGCATCTGGCATGGGCCACGCCACCCTGACACAATCCCAACCCGTGGCCTCAGCAGCCACAGCTGCAGGATTCGAGTCATGGCACCAAGAAAGTCAGCTCCATCCCGAGCAAGGGGCTGGATGCAAATGGCCGAGGTCCACGCATCCACTCAACACAGCGCATGCCTCCTGAGAATCCACACCACGGGACTCAGCTGGCTCGCAGAGTCCCTGGCGGGACGCCCATAACTTGGGAAGTACCCTCCAAAACTGCTTGGTTTCATTGCACCCGGTAACTCAGCACTGGTGCTCCATTTGTGTCCTCCGCTTCAGGACATCGCTCACTCATTGACATGGCCTCTACCGAATAGTGGCACACGGCAGAAGTCGAAGCCGGCAGCACACAACCCGAGTGGCGCCTTCCCCTGAAACGCAGGGCTAGGAGAAGTAGTCACCTGCGGATATTGTCATCATTGTCTTTAAACTTATCCTTATTGTTGTCCTGATATCGACATCTCCACGTAAGATGCTTGGAGTCGGGCCCACTCAGACGAATGGGAGGGCCTGCTCCTTTCTGGCATCCCCAGCTCTTTGCATGGGCATCACCCTCGGAAGTATGGAGGTTGCTGTAAGTTGCTCGGGTCCGCATGTATCTCGAAATATGGCCCCGTGGATAGCTGTGCTTCGGGATCCGAAACCTTGGGCATAATCTGCCTCCTGCTTTCTCACACAGGTATCATCGCGTTAGCAAGCGATGCACACAAAGCAGCACAGCGAGGACACCATGCCTTTGAGAAAGCCGGCATGCTACTTCAGGAAGCATGACGTGAATGGCACGAACGTGCAAAGACAGGTGCCAGTCTCTATAGGTGTCCCGTGCTGCACCTACCAGCCTTACTCGAACGGACCTTGGGATTTAAACAATTTTCCTGTCGCTTCAGATAGGCCAGGTAGGTCCCAGCTTTGCCTCCGACAACCCCAACGGTCTGTAAGAGTAGAGCAAGCATTGCATGCGCTCTGATGGTTGAAACTTTCGTGAAAACCGTCGCCGCTGCAACCTCTCACGCACGCAGTGCACCTGGGAGCATCCAATAACACTCGTCAAGATGAAGCAACACTGCAACAAGAAAAGGCTGTCATGTGATTGACGCAGAGAAGCGCGCAACTGCATTACGCAGTCAGTCAAACTTGCATGGAGGACACAAGGAAAAACAAGCATGCACCTCCGTTACTGCACGTTCTCTTCGCCTGCCGAAAGCGGATTTGTTGGGCCCGGCAGGTAGAGGCTTGGACACGATTTTCACAGACGGTAGTCCGGCCCGCTTCTTGAAAGGGCGGGACCCAAGGACCCAAACCTCTAAGCTTCTAGACCGCTTGCCTCAACTCCAAACCCTCGTCAACCGTAGAAGCCCAAACTTCAACCGAGGCCACTCGCCTGGCGAGGCATCTTGTTGCGACTCGACCTTAAGGGTTCCACGAAACAGGGACCCCGAAGTAAGCAGAGCATGGCTCTACTTGAGTGCATACCATGACGTTACACATCTGCCCACGGATTAGACGACATAGTTGCACCAACAGATTGAGAGCCGCACCGGCTTCGTGTCGACCGCGGCACCCTGTGGCCAGGCTTCGCATCACGAGGCGGAGTTGTGAGACTCGTCGCACAGGACCCTATGATAGGAAAGCCGCTGATCTCTAGTCGCGAGCAGGGGTCAAAAGAGGGAGATGAAGCAAGACCGAGGACGCTCATCTTGCAACCCTCTACTCTAGATGTCTAGCTGCAACAATAGATGTTGCCCTTCTGCAGAACATCCACAACCACATGTCTACAAATTCGAATCCTCAGCCTGTTCAAAAATTTCGCAACCTCGATTGTGTAGCCTCCGGCTCTGCGGGGACGCCAGTCGAAAGGCCACCGACTGAGTCCAGGCCCTGCGTTTCCGAATGACTTGTGGGCGTTCACACAGCTTCGGAGGAAAGGCAGTACTCGGCTGTTGCGAGCTATCGACTGATCTGATGCGTACACTGCTGCTACTCACGACTCAGGATGCCTCCTGTGGCACAGGTCTACACAAAAGTCAAAATCTCTCGCGACACTTTGCCAAAGTCCAGGAGAGAAACGAACAGCTTCTGCCTTGCGTGCAAACAGCTTTACTACAAGCAAACATCAGAACAGTGCAATCCAAACTGCACCTGCAATCACAAGACATCTGTGTGCATGCGCCCACAACTGAACCGACCCACCTACCCCCGCAAACCTGCATTCGCAAAGGCATGCAACACAGAGACATGCACACGACAAAGACTAGCTTTCCGAAACAAGCACTTGAGAATGTAATTAGTGATACGATGAACTGTCGAAGTTGCAAGTTGTGCCTAAAGTTTACACATCCAACAGCTGTGCCCATCCAAGGAAGCTCTTGTCGGCCTGCTTTGAACGGAGCAGGGTCGTCACCGAACCTTGTTCCGAGTTCGGCAGTATTGTGTATGTCTCATGCTATCAATGCCCTCTCGCAAGCCAGGAACTGCATGATGCCGCCAAAGCTATGCACTGCTACGACCAATCCTGATCCAAACAATCTTCGCATGCTTCGTCACAGAGTTGGGCTTCCCGGCTAGCTTGCATATGCTTTGCTCAACCAATCAATTTGCTTGAACATCTTGAAACCAGCACTGGCCGCGTCTGGTGCGCTTGTTACATGAGCCGTCCCTTGCAGTGGAGTGCACGTGCGTGTGTATGTGTGTGTGTGTGTGTGTGTGTCGTCGCACTTGTCCTTATAGCTCAGAGCTAATCCAGTGTTGGCATTTTGGCTGTTCTTCTCGACATAGACCTGGAAAGGCCCTTGCTTTGCGATCCGAGACGGGTCTCCAGCTCCTGGCATTTGCGAGGCAGCTAAGGCTGTGAAAGGAGGCTCTACATGTACAGGACTAAGCAAAACATTAGAGATACAAGGCTCAACCGAGAAGCCGCGGCAGAATCCGGGAGCTACAAGGAGAAAGCCACTCGTGCCGATGCCACGTGGCAAAAGAAGGGGAGGGCCCCGCATGGCTCGGAGAGCTGGCTGGACGACTGGAAGTAGGCTTTCTGCGAAGCTGCTCTGGTGTTACACATGCAGCTACCACCGCATCACCGTATCACGGCTAGCTTGCAGGTAGTCGCGTGAAGAAGCTTTAGTCGACCAACCCTGCAACTGCCACTTGGACGGTGCCTCAAGGACCGACTGGGTGACGATGCGCGAGTTCTGCAGGCGCTGCAGGCAGATGAGCTCCTGCTCCTGGGGCGCTTGCAAGACAGGTAAAGGAGGGCCGATCTGAGGAGCCCTTCAGGGAACAACATCGCCTGTTACCTGCTTCCAACTCCTTGGCTATCTTTTGTCGGGCCCACCTCGAGCTCCGGGAGCGTGGACTCTGCCTCCATCACCTCCAAGCAGTCCAAGCAGTCTGTGAAGGGTTCCAACTGCCGCAACTCGCAATGTCGTGCCGACGAGCCACTTGAAGCCATTCCAAGCCACACCCTGGACATGCCAGAAACCCCTACAAAGCTGCTAGGCGAGCGCCTCTTGTTCCGCTTGTTGGCGCTCAAGCTCCTGACATGTGCTGCATGGTCACAGAGGAGTTCAGTGATTCAGATGCTTGTGGATGACACTTGTGGATGACGTATCAGCTGACATCTGACAACAATGAGTTGTATTGCTTGCACGTCGCAGGCAACAGGACAAGGCCCACATGCAGCAAGTTGCCTGGAACTCTCGCATACGTTCGATGCGCGCCGCGCGCTCCTGGCTGGCCTTGATGCCAAAGACTTCAACACTGGGTTTAGAGAGGGCTTGAGAGCTAGGTTTCTTTGGATTTCACTTCTGCAGACTTTGGGAAGCTTGCCGAGGCCCAACAAGGCTTCAGCAGGATCCTGCCTTTCTCCCAGATCCGGTACAACGGTATTGGACATGTTTGGCTGTGACAGCTGCTTGACTTGGTATCGCTACGTGCAGGAGGCTTCAAACTCAAGCAAAATCCGCCATGTCATCGGCTTCGCACTTCGACGTGTGGTTCCGGTTGTTCTTCTTGCACCATGACCAGCGAATGCTGTGTTTTGACGAGGGTTGTGAATGGTTGCTGTAGGCTGTTCCTGCCAAAGGAGTCCTGGGATTCTGGGACCGGACTGGTGGATCATAGCTTGACTCGTTACAGTACTTGACTTTAGATTCGGAAATGCCATGATCGGCAGATGGTCAGCCAAAGCTGAAAGTAGATGCGCAAGTCATCTCCGTGCAAGGCGGAAGCCCTCCCGGCAGTCTGGGCTTGCGGCCCGCGTGCGCGCCTCCTTCTGCGAGATCCTCGGTGCGGCTGTGCACTTCGCAGTTCAGTGTCTCAGGCTGGCATTGGGCCATTCGTGATGCCCTAGCTCTAGCCAGATCGAAAGCCCTGAATCTACACTTAGGTCCCGGCTGTATCAGGGCGGCTTTCTCGGAGTTCATGCGCCGAATCTGGGACCAGTCAAGCACTGGAAACGACAGCACCCCCCTCAACCACTTGTGTGCTGACGCTTCTGGTCTCTCCAAAGATGCTTTAGAAATAACATAAACAACGATGCTGACAGCTCTTGCAGCTTTGCTTACAGCCTCCATCTCCAGAATCCTCTTCTGCTTCAGGATGGCCTCACGGAAAGGGGGAACAACGGGCTTTGGCGTACGTGGCTGCAAACGTTGGCCTGTTGGGGACTATGGTTCCGAACCTGCTGCAGAGTCTTGGTTGGCCTGAATCACTCAAATGAGCAGAATCCAACAAGATGGCTACCGCAGCCTTGCAGCAGCAGTACTACATCCCGGTGTAGCTGTAGTACTTGATATAATATGTGCATCCGTCCGGCACAACCCACTATGAGAAACCGTATCTTTAGCTGCGCAGGCGTTGCCCACTCTCAATACCGCCGCATTGACATGATTCCGGCACGGCCTGGGAGGAATCGCGCTGAGCCTGTGCAGAGATCTGCTTCTCACGCATGGTTTCGAACCTGAGTCGGATTGCAACGCACAAGTCGCACTCTGCGGACGGTCAACTTACTAGCGGCTCAGTCCCCGGCTGCTGCTGCTTCCGGTAGTCGGAGACGGTCACCCTGAGGCGACAACAACGCTCTGGTCACCAATGGCAAGCGTGGGTTGCTCCACGTCCTGTTTCCCGTGACTTACCCCGAGGCACGTTTTCGGATCGCCTGAAGCATGTTGCCGCGCAAGACTTTGCAGTGGCAAGGTCAAGCGTTCCGGAGCAGAGCTGAAGGCAGAAACCGTGACACGCACCAACGTGAGTTCAAACCCACCAGCCTGTTTTGAGCAGCTCTGACTCTGTTCTGCTGAAGCAAGAGGTCTCTCTCCTTCGCGGTGAGTTTACTTGCATGCTGCAGCAAGAGATCGTTTCTCAAGACGCCCTTCAGGACACTGCCTACACTGCTCATAACAAGGAGCCAGTCGATCCAAGCTTGCTCGGTCCTGCTGAATTGCTCGATCTGCCAACTTCTTTTCGATGGTCCGTGATCGCCCCTCCTGTCACCGTCGACTCCGAACTGAACTGCTTTCGTGCTCCTCGAACCAAAATTTAGAGGCTTGCTCCGACCCAGAAGGCGCTCGAGAACTGCAGCAGGTCTGGCAGTTGGGCATGCACGCCCCCGAGACTCCACAAAGGCCACTGCAAGACAGGCTCGCGCAGCCAGGAACCTTCCCTCGGCGCTTCGGAACAACAGAGGCTTCAGGGTCAATAAAACCGTATCCGCGTATGCGTACCCCACCCAGTGCCTTGCCTCGATGGCCGCCGCCTGGCATTGCGCGGAGACCGGATGCCCCCGTCGCAGTGCAGCTTGAAGGCAGGTCTACTGTAAGGGGCTCCAGCTGAAACCTGAACCGTCCTTCGAGCTGCATCCGGTGCCTGCCGTCTCACTTCCTCCAAGTCCCTCCAAATCTTCTCCTGGCAAGGGTTCGGAGTTCGAAGATTCGAGCGGAGGCATGCCTTTAACTTAGCCTTTAACCGCCAGGGCTCTACACTTGGGGTCGGGTGTTGGGTTGTGTAGCATTGAAAAAGCTTCCCCAAGAGATGGTTACGCTGCCAGGAAGCATACAGGGATTCGTCTGCTCCGCAGAACGGGCGCGGCGCTTCACAAGCAGCGGATGTCGCATGGCCTCTTCCTTTTGGAAGTATCGGATGCGGTTTTCGATGGCTTTCCGGTTTCGGTCGATTGCCTGCCAGGAAACTGTCTCTGAAGCGGGCAAGACTTGCTTTGGGACTCTCACACCTCATGGTGGGACTGCATGATTTAACATTCAACTTTCCAACTTGCGTGCCCACTCAGGTCTTAGTCTTGCGATTTCAGGAACCCGCGCTTCATGACAAAAGGCATCCAGCCTTTTTCGCTCGGCTGGCCTAGCAGGATGCATCCAGTGCCACGAGTATCTGATGATGCTCGTGCAGACAAGCTCTGCAGGGCCTCGTGCACCGTCATAGGCCGATCTTCCCTGCGCAGCGCTTGAGCGAACCCTCTGTTCAGGGTTTCTGAAACGTCCAGCTTGCAAACGCCAAGACTTCCCTGCCGCTACTCGCCTCAGCTCACTGGGGCTCTCTCGGGCCCTGGGGCTCGCGGCGCTGCGTGGACTGGCATCCTTTCCAGATTTCAAGCAGGTTCTCACATCACGGAATTCCAAGGGCTCCAAAGGACTTGGCTGTAAGACTTTCGGGCTCCAGGGCACCTTGAGAGGATGTATACATGAATCTTACCCAGGCATCCTGGCAAGTTACCTGGGGCCCCGGAAAGTTTATGAACACACCAGACCAGCGACCGGAGGCTTTGAAATGACTCGGTGCCTTTGCTCTCTCCAACTAGCGGGCACATCTGACTTCTCCCTTGCCCGAAACCAAGCCTTCTCCGACAGTGCGGTGACGCTGGCACGGGACCTCCGTCAAAGCCGGGTTCTCTCCAAGTATTGCATGAGCTCGCTTGGCACTGAGCGGGTACATTGACATACTAAAGACAAGCGTGCAGGCCATAGTGCACTGGGATTGCGGGATCTTACTGTACACGCTGGAGCAGGCCTCGCTTCCCCCGATTGCCTGCTAAATGCTTGCACGAGATGTCAACAAGATCCACACACTTCACAGAGTTTCAAATATCGTTCTAGATGTTTGTTTAGCAATCCTCCCACCCTGTGGGTACACCGCCTATCCTCCAACCACCGAACAACGCATGATTTGCATCTTGAAACACCTGCACCCTGAAAACCTGAACCTTTCCATTTCCGACAACACCCCTCTCAGAGTGCGGCCCTTGAGAGGATCGCGGCCCACCGGGCACCGGCCTAGGAGAAACTTGCAAATGATAAGCAATGACCCAAACTGCGTGGTCCTTCAACAGCACACTGACTCCCGGCCCAATGCTCAACCGCAAAGAAGTGCAAAGGCCCTGGCGCTCGGCGAACAGGCGGGGCAAAAGACATCAAGGGGCCCGTCCGGAGTCCTGACCAGTGCAGTGCTCGCAGACATGTCCAGGCCCGCGAGAGCTTCAGTTCCCAAGATACCACCCCAACTGCCCGGCAGAACGTCTGAGGCAACCGATTGGGCCTCTGACGTCCCCGAGCCCAGCGGCTCACGAGAAACCATGAAACCCTCCAGCTTTGTAAGCTTGGGCCACAATAACCCACGAGATGTGCGTGCAGTCTCTGCCGATGAAGTCGCGCACTACAGGAGCCCTCCGAACTGCGATGGAACCCTGCGATGTCACAACCCTTTTGTGGCCAGCCTTTGCAAGAGTTGCGGCTCGCATCCGGTCTCTGAGTCACGCTACACCCCCTTCCAGATGGAGATCTTCTCCAAGAAAGGTCTTGACAACCATCTACCCTGACCAGTTACAACAGTAGCGAAGGCACTGGAATTTGGATCTGCATGTTAATTGCCTCCCCTTCGCAACCTGCGAGCCTGAAACCGGGGCGAAGCGCATCACGCTCGCACGAGAAGCTCACCTCTTATGAGCTGCTGCGGGTCTTTCCGCTCGGGAGACAAGCCCATCCAACATGCCGTTTCCTCAAGCGCCAAACTGCACCTCCATCCGCGTGGCTAACGTCTCAAGAATCTCACTCAGAGGGGCTAAACATGAAAGTCAGCCCTTTGCTTGTCCTCAGATGCACGACAGTGGGAGAGAAATTTGGATCAGCAGCAAGACGCAAAGAAATTGTTGCTCCTAGTTTGTTTGTAGGTTGTAGACTTCGAGGCATTGGATTCATTGGATAGATCGTTCAGAAATCAGAGGCACTTTCGGAATATCCCATGTAGCTCAGGGACATCATCATCGAAGATGTAAATGTAGTTCAGGTTCGCGCTCGCGCGCTCGTCTGCGGCCACAGCCGTCAGTGAGTACCTCTACGAAAGCATGACCTTCCAAGCCCAAGGACCCAAGGGCCCAAGGTCTCGGAAGGCGAAGTCGAAGCTCGCGAATCATGAGTGAATCATGCACGAATCATGATACCCATGTTGGCCCTAAAAATGAGGCTCTCGCTCTCGCTGGCCTTTGCAGAAGAGCCTCGAGCCGAGAGTAGTGGCCGTTGATGGCCGCAGCTGCGTCCATGCACTGTATCCTTGGGTTTTCGAGCACTCATAGCCTCATAGCTCATTTGGGCGCATGGTCGGGTTTGTATGATCGCTCCTCTTCTTCAGCATTCTGTGGTTTTGGTGTACGGTTAAGGAAGGTTTGGGGGTTTAGTGTGCTTCGGTGGCACAGAAAGGGGCCGCGAGCATCAGGTGGCTATTGGGACAAAGACACGGAGCGGGCACGATCGACGTTTCTGCATGATCGCAACTATCTTACTATTGACATGTACCGTACCTGTGCTGACCCTGTTGCCACCAAGCCGCACCGAACCTTTGGCGACCAATTTCAGTTCGCCATAGCCTCGAGACTCGAGATGCACAGCAAAAAATGAGGACGATAGTGGATATGGCTAACCGATGCTAAACGGCTAAACAGGGGCTGTTAAGGGTTGGATTGCAAAGCCCCTGCATTTTGACTAACCTCACGATGCCGCTTTGCGGCTCTGTACGAAGTTCTGCAGAGACACGCCGTAGGCGAAGACCTTCCCTTTGGTCCTCGGAGCTCCGAGGCGGAAGTTAACCATGCGATAAGTTTGCTGTGGCGAAGCTGAGGTCAGGACGGCTTCTGCCGAAGGATGATGCCTCTTAAGCTCCGTGTGGCTTCACCAGGTGGTCTTGCAAAAGCGCAGCAAAAGCCACTGAAGGGTCGCTTGCTCCAGCTCCAAAGCCGAAGCAGGACTGCAACCTCCCCAACCCAAGTACCCAATGCCAGGCCTCCAGGCACACAGGTTCCCAAGTAGGGTCGCGCTGCCAACCTTTTGCACATGGCTGGGTTGTTTGGAATTCAGATCAGCGGCTTCACAGTGTGAATGCAGGCCCTGTGCCCTGGCATCATCAGCGCCCAGAGCAGCAGCCATCCCAGCACCGCACGGGGGCTGAGACATGGCATGAGATCCGATAAGTCTTCTGGCTGTGTGATGCTGTGGGATGCTGCCGGCGCGGCAGGCTGGTCACTCCTTAGGCCTTAGGACTCACCGAAGATCGAGGAAGCATATCAGGTCTTCAGGTGATCATAACTCATGTCCAGCAACATGTTTGAGCACAGCTGGCTTGAAGCACAGAACTTGCAGCACTATCTCCGCAAAGACAATCTGGAAGCTAGAATACGATATATGCCGTCACTGCGGCAATGTGCAAAAGCCCCACTATACATCAGATATGCTATCGAACCCCATCAGTGCTCGCTGTCCATCCTTCAAGTAAGATGACCACCGGACACTGACCTCCAGTGGCAGCAGTGTTATCGTCACGCCTCAACAAGAATGTGCACTGACTGATCGAAGAACCTGCTAACATCTGATTTATAATAACATCACATAGAAATTATGTGGGCGTAAAGCTATAATGATGATGTGCTAGGTTCCGTTCCAAGTTTCCCGAGCCGAAGCCTTCGGCACTCGTGGCCATATCTGGTGCAACTAGGCAGAGCTAACGAGAGACCAGCAGGGATAGAGGAGTTTAGGGCCAAGGATTTACGGCTTAGGGAATTTGGAGGAAGCAACACCCAAGGTCTTCCAGAATGCACTCTACTAACGGAGAATAAGCATCACGATCGCCTCTGAACTCTCCTCTTGGAGCTTCCGTCTCGCGTTGTTTTGTTCACCACTCTGGCGCAAAGCCATCGTTGTGTCACAAAGCCTAGTGCCTGCACAGGAACCCTCTAAGAAGTATGATGTAAGCGCAGAATATCTTAGCCTGAACTCTCAAGGCCACAGGAATGCTTGAACAATCCGGGGACATCAACCGAAGTCCAAGAGTCCTAAACCCTAAACGGACACGGAGCCCCCTTGGAACTTGGGGCCCCGGTCTGCGAGCGGAGCGCTCGAGGAATGTCACAAGCATTGCCGGAAATGGTGAGAGAGCTTCTGGGTATGCAGCGATCAAGGAAGTCCTTCATGACTCGTCTGATGCTTGAATGGAGGCAAACATGCATCCGAAAGCACCGTTTGCGCTTGGCCTGAGATGATCTTGCAACCACATGCAGCTCCTTAGCCATACCTGCAGTGTCTACGTGCGAAGGGGATGCTCACATCGCCAAACCCCTGCAGCACCTTCAACATGCCTGGATCCTGCAACAACCTGGGGAAGGTCAAAAAAGATCTGTGTGATCGATCAAACCGAGCTCTCGCCTGACCAGCAGTGCCAGCAGTGATAGGGTGGCTTCTGCCACGCCACACCACTCATTAGACGAATTGACTTCACCGTTGAAGGAGCCTTTTTCAAGGGGTTTCCTTTACATGAACACCCCAAATCATCTGGTGGGTCGATCCTCCCCTGCACGCTGTTGATGTGCCGTTAGGAAACTCCTGTTGTTACGCTGTGGGTAGGTCTCCGGGGCCATGTCGATCGCAAAACATTCAACCCGCCTGCAAAATGGCTCCAAGCGTGAAGGTAAAAGCATAGAAAACTGCCGATTGAGCGTGAGGTTGGCAGCCGAAAGTCCTTTCTTCAGCTTACTGCCAAGATGCTGCATGCATGCATAAGCAGGCTGCATAGTCGGCCAGATTCCGCTAGCTACTAGGCACTGCCGCTAGGGCGTTCAAGGTGCTGTTACCGGTTTGCAAGCAGAGACATGGGAGCACCCACATTTTACTGATGCCAACAGCTGCCTGGGCTATTCAAGCAAGCTGGGTGTGCATACTCGTCAGGACATAGCACATGTGCCGCGGTACCAAGATCTCAAGCAGGTCACATACCTCAAAGGTCGGACTGCTCTACAGCCTTTCAGCCATGATCGTGGCAGTTCCATCAGAGATTTTCCCAACGAGAGTCGGGCTCCCGGTTGCCACCTATGCCCCCACTTTGGGCAATGCTACTATGGCTATGGCCGTCGCACACTCAAGGTCAATGTCTACAACATGCTGTACATAATGAGCAAAGGCAGAAGCAATAGCATACACGAAGTGCAGCAGAATTCCACCCTAGATAAGCTCACAAAATTTAATTGTCCCTTGCTTTGCAGATACCTGCTCAAAAATTGACAATGTAAGTATTGAACGTGTTTCTCGGTTGTTATGTTCGCTGAAGAAGGCCGTGGATGTGAATGTGCGGTGCATTGTTATATGAGTAGACCGACAAACGGCGATTGGCAACAAAAACAAAGCAAGGACTGCAAAAATGACGAGGAAGTGAGACCAAGATGATGATATACGAAGCAGAAAATGCAAATCGATCACGTAAACATGCACATATACATAAAAAGAACGTGTACATGTACATATTACGTATACAGATACATATACATACGCCTACACATATACATACACGTGTGCACAGGCGAGCCCGCATCCACAGACAAATGAATCCGCATTCGGATATGTGTGTGAATGTATCTATGTATATACATATACATATATGTGCAGATATGTTCATTCAGCTGTTTATTTACATGCTACAGAAACATCCACACGATAATGTAGTGTTGCTTCTGCAGAGGTTTCTGTCCAGTTTGGGCAGACACTGACAAGCAGAATGTTGAATCTGCACCAAACCACATCACCAGTGCATTGCAAAAATACAGCACAGCAACACGTGGAAAGTGCATCAGTTCACGTGTGTTATACATGACACAACTAATGGAGCCGAATGGAACCTACATGAGCACGTCCAGATCAGAATTGAATCTCGTACCTGCAAGTACGGTGCGTGTATGTGTCTATGTGCGTGAGCATGCATGCATATGCGTGCCTGGCTGGTTGTGCTTGCGATGTAGACTGATACTTCTACCACTTGACGCTTAACCGTTCACTTAACTGCCTAATTGCGATCACATAGGCAAGACGGTCACAGCGAGGCCATAACGGCTCGCTACGTGTTTCCAATGTAAAAGTGGCGATTCACAGATTCAGCCGGTCTCAGCCAACGGACCTGCACACAGCCGCAGATGGCCCGACGTTTGGCTCCACTCACATTCCAGCTACCCAGTGTTCGCACTCCAGGCTTGCGTTCAAGACTTATCTGGAAGGAACCAACATCAGACCGGGCATAAAACTCTGCGTTACTCATACAGGACACCGGTAGCTGAGGATCTGAAGCGCCGCAAGCCGGCCAACCGTCTCAACAATCTCTGCGGTTAAGGAAACGGTAAAGCGCTCAGACTGAGGTCCGTGCGGCCACGGTGTACGCTGAGCTCTTGTCAAAATATGACGAAGAGAAGTAGAAACGCAGGGGTACCTGAAACGGTCAGGGCTTGCATATCAGTTGTACTCGAAAGGACCTAAAGAAGCACCCCAACAATCGAATGCCGGAGCCTTCGATGAGACGTCGAACCAATCCTGGAGACGAGCAACAGAACTCAAACCTTCTTATTTGTAGCCGAGCTCTGTTCTCTAAGCAAAAAGGTGCACAGTAGGTGGGATCGATCCACGGTGACACTGAATGAGAGCTCGTGGACCTTCTGGGCCTTTAGATGCACGGTAAGTCTGAGCGGTGACTTCTGTGCTTGTTGCCGAGCGATGAGGTTCTGGCTGCCAGCCAATGTAATGGGGCAAGTTCTTTGAGCAGTCCAAAGGCGGTGCGATTTCAACAGTGAAGACGGAAGCCAGAGTGTCAAGCATCAAGATGCCATCCCTGTCGAATGATCTTCACTCAGTTCCATCATCGTAGGCCCCAACATTAAACTCGCGCGGGCAAGTCCTCCGTGAGCATGTGCGTGTTGCGCAGCAGTGCCAGCCGACACCTCGGTTGCATTACAAATGCACAGAAGAGGATGGGACCGGGAGGACTGTTGCATGTCTTGGCGCCCACCTGTCGCCGCCTCCCCAACATCCCCAAATCGAGCGTTGTTCCGCTGATGGACCCCCAAAGCGAGCGGAGCTAAACTCTTGGGCCCTGGCCGTCGGATCCCGCACTTTGATGCCTCGCCAATGAGGAGCTCCAGGTCAAAGGTGACGGAGGTCAGAGTTCCTGTGAGGACTGAACTCCACCGCGTCTTTTGTGGGGCCCACAGCCTACAACACAGCTTTCGGCGACTTTGAGGGCTTTGGTGGCGGCTTTCGTGAGAAGGCTCTGGAGAGCCGGGCCTCCGAGCTGTGCCGAGTGCTTGCCGTTCAGGTCCTGGCAGACGAAAAAGCCCAGGGCCGGGAGGGCCGGGGTCGGCGGGGGGTTCGCGTCTGGAGGAGCTGCTACAGAACTCAACTGAGAAGCGATTCCTGCCTTAGTCATGAAATTGGTGAGGAATAGTGGGGAAGACCCCGACACGTAGTTACCAAGGTTTCTCAACTCCCATGATGACTGCAGGACACGGTCAGGGGTGTGGGAGGGGTGCTGTGGCTGCCTGCGGCTGGTGACCCGGTTGCCACCAAACCCTCAGCTCATCAACCTGCGCACTTTAAACCCGTCCGAGTCTCGGTCGACACCTTCTATCACAACAAAACTACTAACTCCTTACGGAGTTGTTGCGACGGTTCCAGGATCTTCTTGGAACTCCCACTAGCGACTCAGAGTCACCCGGGACTTGTGAAACTTGGGTGCGGCCGGAGAAGCTGCATAAACCGCCGGGCGCTGGAATGTTATATGGCCTGAATGTTGTTTAGTACCGGATCCTTCTCCAGCCCACTCCCCTGTGCAAACTCGGCAAACCGTGATCAATTTGAAATGTCTGCCGAGTGGTCTCTTCTCAAAATATCGGCAACGACTAAGACCGACCTCCGACTGCACCGTTCCGACATGACACAATTGCTTACAAAGAGTACTGTATGTCTCTGGTGCCCTAGATTTTGAGAAGTTGAGACCAGTGCCTCTAATTTGTGCTGCTGGCCTCGGTCCAGCCCTGGGCTTCAGCCTTCGCTGCCTTCGGATGCCCCGAGATCTCCCCTTCGCGTTCCGCAACCGTGGCCAAGACGGAAAAACCAAACATGCAATGCACACCACACGTCGGAGCTCGACCAGCATCCCCACTTCAAAATTCTTCAACCCCCTACCCTTTCGCTACTCCAGCGGCTGAAGCCCCGGTGACAACGGCTCATGTCAGATCTTCGACACCAGCACCGAGAAGCGGGAGCGATTCTAGCTGTTTCCGCGTCATACAGACCTGCGCGAGGCTCACTGGGCTTGTAGGCTTCAGCTTCAGCGTTTGCAACGTGATGTTTCGCAGGGCGGGGATCGGGCCCTCGACTGTAGTCCTCACAGCTTCTGTATCTTACACTTCCGCCAAGAAGCCGTGAAGTCGGAAAACTGCGAATCGACGATGCTCCCCTTGGCATGCAGCACACATCGAATGGAACTTGCTGCCCCAGGTGCTGTAACGCACACTCTCAAGTACATTGAAAGCGAACAGCGGCATTCGATGAAAAGTCGAGCTGACACACAATCGACGGCAGACTCTCTACGGGAAAACCAGGACAGCATCGACTGCATGGAAGGATCTGCCGTTCGCGACAGAGTGATGCCGACACACGATAGAGACGAGGACACTCAAACAGTGCCACCAGCGGCAGGATCCCAGTCCACTGCCGGCGCGAGCTCGCGGACGGATGGCTGGTCCTGTACAGGGAATAGCGTTGATGATGAGACCTGACCTGAGTTTGGTATGTAGGGCTCGCAGCTTCGTGGGTTTCGTCTAGGGTTTAGTTGGGGTTTCAAAGTGAGGGGTCTGTAGCTGGGGTTTCGAAGTCGTTGCGTTTGTAGTTTGTTGCAGGAGGCGTAAGCGGTTGGACCTGCCTGTAGGCCGACGTGATTTCTAGGTAGGGTTTGCTGGAGGGATCCTGTCCGGTTGTGAAAAACACTCTGACGATTGGATCCAGCAAAGTCTTGCATCATCATCATCATCATCACCATGATCCTCACCATCATCCTCATAACCATCGTCGTCGCTGTGTTGGTGGCAGAGGTCTCCACGTGACAGGTCATGATGCCGGCATCCACTGCAGACCCGCCAGCCTGCTTCTTGATCACACTGCAGTCCGACTCCATCTCCACCGAGCAAGCCATGCCAGTGATGAATCCTAACCTCGCGCTTCTCAAGGGGTACAAATCACAAGCAAGACCTGGAACGCCCTGCTCTGCACGGCAAATTGACAAACGCCCATGGCCTCGTGACGCTTTCCCAACCCAGCTCCTATCCAAAAGTCAGTTCTCAAATCCAGAAAGCCTGCAGCCACACAACTTCGGCTACAGCAGAAACAAGTTCGTTCGTCAGCCCGCAGCTCAGCCTGTCAACCCTAAACCCTGAACACTAAAGAATTACTCCAATCTCTCGACGGACCGACATCGATACCACTGCTCTTACCGTTGTTTCGATTCCGGACCAGTGTCTGAACGAATGTATGCTTGTCTGCGCGCACACAACAAAAACCTGCAGCCCAACATCCTGGTATGTTGCAATGACTAGACTGACTGGAAGCAGTTGCGATTAGCTGGGCTGCTTGTGTTTGTGTGCACTCCTACTGAACCCTTGTTGCTCCCGCTGCTCCTGCCTCTCCTGCAGCTCTTGCCGCTTGCTGATAGTGAGCAGCACAAGTGGCAGTGCAGTGAAAGCAGCAGCAGCAGCAGCAGCAGCAGCAGCAGCAGCACTGCTGCAACTCTGCATACCTACATACATACGCACATGTATGCATAGGTACATGACATCGTGTATGCTACCCTTACATGCGCGGCCAGATATACAGAGGATAGAGAAGGGGAGAGAAACCAGCTTCTGCATCCGAACTTAGGTGAAACTGCCAGGTCACTGGAGCGCTTCTGGCGCGCTGCAGCGAATGTCGGGGTTCCGCCGCCTCGAAGTTCCAAGGTTATGGGTCGTCCCGCCATGGTGAACGCGTGCAACTCAACAGAAAACCTAAAGTTCGGAGAGGAACGAGCCCTGTTAAACCACAGTGCAGATTCAAATCGAGAACTGGTCAGAGACCGAGGAGCAGCAGCACCCGGCAAAAGCGAGCTGCGGGGCCAAGGAACTCACCGACCTGCTGCATCCAAGCACAAAAAACGCACCTTAGTCCCAATCCTTGCAGCCCACGACACTCAAGAACAGACGGCGGCAGAAGAAACAAACGAGACCAGAAGCCGCATGTTACATCGCCTGCAAATTCAAAGCACTCGACTTTATGATTACGGCCCGTCGTTGTCCAACAAAACCCGGAGCATCCCCGTGCCTTCTGTCCACCTGGCACCTGCACATGGACAGGGATCTTATCTTGATGCAAGTTTGGCCGGACTACTGCCTGCACATGAGGAGCGTTTAGGTCCATTCTGGAGACTTGTTAGCCATTGTGCAACATTGACAAACGAAACAGAGTGTGAGAACCATGTTGCTTCGCAGGTACGTCGTATGCTCAAGGCACGTGGCTACATCGATGGGATGCTTCGCGCGTCCGCTCGGCCAAGGCTCACTTCTCATGGCACCACACAGCTCAGATGTCGAGCCTGGCCTGGCAGTAGCGTGGCTCCGCATGTCCGAGAATCGCAGCCTTGATGGCGTCCTCACGCAGAGGCCGCAGGTCGGGGCTGTATACTCCTAAGGGATGACAAGCGGGTGAGCGTAAGGCTACTTCTACTCACCGGCCCGAGCACTAAACAGAAAACACGGGTCTCGTGTAACAAGAGCAAGACCCACGGGCAGAAAGCGGATCCTTGTCTCTGACTCCAGGCGCAAACGGGAACTCCTCAGTCCAGCTATGCGTTTAGAGTCTTTGAACATTGAACCCTCAAATCCAAGTCACGTATCCCATCAGGCAGTGCAGCAAAACTGCTAAGCGGGGCTTGGAAGGCCGGCTGGCAATCAACTCTTGCTTTTGCAGTGGATAGCAGTCTTCCGGTCACAGGATCGTCTGCACATGTGCCACATCTAAGCCAGGGGACGGGGCAAGAGCTTAGGAAGCGAAGCATATCAGAACTCCGTTCGTAGCTTCCCTCCAATGTCCCCTCCTTTCTGAGAGCAAACAGAGCAACGGAGCAAACTGCTCAGCCTCAGGTGCGACAAGAATGAGCAGGCAAGGCTCATTGAAGAGCAGGGCATAAGCCATGACGCCAAAGGACCACAGATCCGTCTTCTCTGTGTAGCCCACCTGAACAAGGAGAGAGAAGCTTCGTCTAGCCGTCTATGCACTCCACCTCACTGCTTCAAAACCACGAGCATGAAACCCACATCACGACAGAAGGCCTTCCTCATCTGCTCGGGATGCTGCGTGTTCCAGGCTGGGTTATCACAGTGCAAGACAACTTGCGGAGGAGGGACTGGGACGAAAGCTAGAAGCGTCAACAACCGAGGCTTTTCCAGTGAAGGCAAGTATGCATACACGCCTACTGAACTCCAAATACAGAAACCCTAACTCTTGAACCCCTCGAATGAGCACCAATACCATCCCCCTCAATGTGGGTGACACCCACCGGGCCAAGCCATGCTCTGCTTGCGCTTCTTGTTCGTCGAGATGCAGCTGCTATTACATATGACTGTGTATTCGAGTACTAGTATAGTATGAAATTATGAAATGGTAGAAAAACAGTATATGGAAGAGGTTGGATCAGAGCTTCACGCACACACACACACACACACATATATATATATATATATATATATGTACATATACAAAAACATACCATAACTTACTCCCCCAATAGCCACAGAAATAAAAGGTTAAACTTTCAAACTACTGCTAAACTATAAGAACCCCAAAAGTTTAAACGTTTTGTATTGGAGAACTAAGATAAATACATGTTATATATGCCTAGAAGCCGATCGCTTCAGGTCGGGCGCCCAACATAGAACAAGTACGCGACGCGTGAGCGGAGCCAGCAAGCCACATCGTGAACATCACTGGGGGCCTCTTGGATCCCAATCCGAGCCAACAAGCGCGGAAATAGTAAAAAACAGTATATGGAAGAGGTTGGATCAGAGCTTCATGCACACGTATATATATATATATATGTACATATACACAAACATACCATAAATACATGTGTATATCATGCCTAGAAGCCAATGGCTTCAGGTCGGGTGCCCAACATAGAACAGCGGAAATGGTAGAAACACAGTATATGGAAGAGGTTGGATCAGAGCTTCATGCACACGTATATTTATCTATATGTACATATACACAAACATACCATAAATACATGTGTATATCATGCTTAGAAGCCAATGGCTTCAGGTCGGGTGCCCAACATAGAACAAGTAGGCGACGCGTGAGCATCATGAGCTGCAAGCATCATAAGCATCGGAGCCAGTAAGCGCACATCGCGAACATCATTGGAGCCCAATCCGAGCCACAAGCCCGCATCACGAGCATCATTGGGAGCTTCTTGGGGCCAACAAACGCGCATCATGAGCATCATCGGGGAGCCGTTTTTCCACTCGGAAGCGGTCCGAAGCACCACATTCAAACACCCCAAAACGGACCCACACCCCTAGATGCAACCTTTCGGTTGGTAAGGAACTCAGCTAGCCACGGAGGCTAGCTTTCGTGACATGAACTCAAAGTCTTCTCCCCCAATTGCCAATGAAAACAGTTCCAAAAGACAGCTGGCGGTTTGAAGGGATGACGATACCATGACATGTTCTTGCAAGCTTTGGCAAAGTCGTGTGCCGGAGGCTGCTGCACTCTTGACTCCCGTGCCTTGCCGTGCATCTCCGCGGATCTGTACTGCCAGGAGCCGACCTCCTGGTACAGCTTCCCGCCCTGCCAGAGCTGAGCCATCTTCCGAGATCTTCCGAGCTCGAGGTGCTGGAAACTTGTCCCTTTGCATCCTACTCAGCAAGCTCTGGCTCTACCACTGTTCTCAGAACAGGTCTTCAGGCGCCTGCGGAGCTGAGCAAGCATTACTGAAGTCGGTCAACTTCCTGGGCGAAAGGCGAGCTCTGCAGTGTGGTAGCTTAGACGGCCTTCGCACGGCTTCTAGACTCTAGACTCTCCCTGAATCATCCACGTCTGCGCTTCGTCACTACCACACGGCAGTGGGACTGGTAGGACTCTGCGGATTCCAACAGAGTCTTGGCCGAGCCACATTATGGTGTTGCCCTTGTCCCCTCCACACATGAAGTTCGATGCCTGCCCAATAAGTACTTGCACTTCCCTCTGGCATTGATGCATTCAGCTTGGAAGCAGGACATGTGCTGAGGAACCCTGCTTTGAACAGCAACATCTGAGCGCTTCTGACGACGGAGTGGAGAACGGGCGCACCCAAGGGGAGAGCCGTTGCGGATGCTCCGCTCGGGCTCGGGCCTTGATGTTGCGATGGACCACGCCGGCTGAGTGTATCCACTCCACTGCACGAAGCATCCTGCTGACGAGTCGTTGGAGGAGGGCTTTGCGAGAACTTCTGTCAGGGGACTTCGGGGGGATTAGAGCATGTGGTCAGCCGTGTGCTGGGCGAAATCCATCACAGCCAGGGCCAGGGAAAAGACTGCTCTCGGTTCTTATATGACTTTGCCTAGTTTGCCAGTTTGCCTTTCTCATGCCACTGATCCATCAGGCGCCATCGATCGCATGAGCGAATCGCAAGTGTGTGATGAATCAACTTAGAAGGATGGGTACTGGGCACCGTCAGCCGTATCATAATCATGAATCATCAGCAACACTGGTCTGTGATCAGTCTGAGGCTCTGCTTGAACGCGGTGCGCGACTTTTGCAGATTCCAGGTCGTGGATAACTGCCTCAGGGCATGCACACGTGGAGAGTGCAATGGAGGTTTGTCTGAGAATCATGCCCTCCTGGCATGTGGTGGCGCGCTCTCCCTCACCCTGTATAGGAAATCAGCAACCTTCAGCCTTCAACCTCCAAGACCACGCAGCGCCGAAAGCTGCTACATGCCGGACACCATGCTATCTCCCAAAGATCTTGTGCCGTTCTGCCCTCTCTTACAGCCGGGATGCAGCTTTCGCACGAAATTGCACTGGCACCTCAGCAGCGAGCTCCACTGCCGGTCAGACCCAGGCATTCTCCCCTGAAGAAAGAAGGACTGACCGGAGGAGCTCCACCTACAGTAGTGCAGCATCGCCACTTCTCCATCAAGAAGAACAGGCTGTTCCCTTCCGCCCGAATGGTGTACCACTGCACGATGTACCTCGAGCTATCCCCTTTTCCATGAAGCACCCGGCACACTTCCAGCTCAAGAGCTTCACCCGACACTGCGGCCAGCACACTTGCTGTCCATCACACTCCGCCATAGCTTCGCTTCTTGCATGAGATCCTGCAATGCACTGACCCAACACAAAGCTTTTCAGATGCTTCCTGTGTTTCCAGCGTTTCGAGCAAGAAAGTGCCAGAAGGCTCCAGTACACAAGGTTAGATTCTGGAGCAGTGCAACAAGGCACGCGCATCATGACGCCAAGACGATGAAGCTAAGGACAGCGGATGATCTCAAAACCCCTTGAGATGCTGAGTTCAAGCCCTCCAAAACCGCGATGTGCTAGTTCCCCGGAAGCTTTTCTCAGGGCTCCTTCAGAGAGGACCCCGTGCGCGTGATGATTCTCAGGGCATAAGGTTCCTGAGAAGGGTTTCGCGGCTGATTAAGGCCGATAGAGCTGCTAAGAGCTTCGGGCACAGCCTTCAAGCCGCTGGGACAGCTAGTGAGTGACGGCTGGACGAACTGTTTACATATCTCGGAGGCTCTTCCTTCAAGGACTGCATTTGCAAACGCTTTTCGCACACCCCCAAAACGGTAGGATTGCACTATTCACATAAGCCTGTCACTCAAAAGGTCTACAGCCCCAGCAAATCCCACATCGTGCAGCTTTGTCGCACGAGATGCCCGCTCCACGGCGGAATAAACATCACCAAATCTGCCCTGAGGATCATGTGCAAAACACGAGGCCAGAAACATGCAGGCACTGGACCTCTTCGACTCAAAAGATGCTCAGACGTGCTAAGACCGCTAGTGAAAGCTCAAGGCCTAAGCATAGAGCCAGAACAAGCGGACCTCACCTGTCACCGTTTCCGGGAGAGCCTTTACTGTAGAGACATTCTTCGGCGGCCTTGCCAATGACCTCCTGCAGCTCGAAGGCATCGTGGAAGGGGCGGAAGCCCGAAGAGCCACAACCCATGGGCCCATGCAAAGCACGGCCAGGTCGCTGCGTGGTGGAACGCGAGGTTTCACACCCAATAGTCTTGAAGACTGCAATACTTTTGAATGCAGCTGTTACGGGTTTTGCTGGGCGGATAAATTCAATGTGCTCTGTTCACACTCTCTTTCGGCCCATAGGCCCACAGTCTGTCAGCTGCTGCACCCGTCAGCTGCTTCTTCCTGGGGATGATAAAATCAGCTGCGCAGGGAGCCTACACAGGCCTGTTTTCGGGCATGTTAAACGCTGCGTACAGTTTGAAGGCTGCTCGCTGCAAGCCGACTCGACGTTTGAACCACCCGGTTGCAGTGGCACCTTCAGTGCTGGGCCAGGAAGAACGGCGAGGTGCAGGCACAGAATTTCACAGATTTGCATGGTGGACTTGGCCAAGAAATTCAATCCTCTTACATTCATGGGTCAAGACCAGACACCACACTTAGCCAAAGCAGCGCCTCCACCAAATAAATGGCTTTCTTGTCACACTGCGAGATGCGGAAGCCATGCCGCTGGTAACCGCTTGACCTGCGTCCACACGCCAGATCCCGGAACCCAACCGTTCCTGCCAAAACCACCGCAGCATTGCAAGAATTCCTAACCACCGCAGACCTCTGAACCTTCAAAACCCGGTCCGGGGCGGGCACACTCCGCATATGACCTGATGGTCCACAAGCTCATGGTCGATCTTGTCCTCCACAAGAAGCATCTGAGCTTCATCGATTCTTAAACTCGGGTGGACACTGTCGAAGAAGGGGCTGCAAAGGAAGAGCTTCGGAAGTAGCATGCTGCAATGCTGGCCCTAGCATGCCCTAGCTCACTGCGGCCATGGTACCAGAATGTCGCAAAAGCTGTGAGAAACCCAACCGTTTTAGACTGTAAACCCGAAACTGCACAGCGGAAAGGTCCTGCGTCAAATTTCTGATGACCGCACCACCCAGAAAGGACTGTTCGGAACCGTCTGACCTCAATTGCCAGTCAGGTCGGGTGGAGTTCAGGGAGGGCCTGCGGTCTCGATTAGGGATTCGGACTTCAGGGTTTGCTGAACAACTCCGTAATGGCATCACAAAAATGTGAACCTCGGTGCACCTCCCCTTGCGTACACACAACAACGCCGAGAATGGACGCTCCTTGCGGAACCTATCCAAGCGTGTAAAAAGCTGCGCCCTGAGGCCCTGGCATTGGTGCGATATCGAAGGTCTCAAAGGTGTCCACCGGTGGCCTCCGTACCTTTCGGTCCCCATGTCGCCGCACGACTCCGTAAGCAGTCACCAGGACCAAGCTCCCGAAGACGTGCCTGGAAGGACGGCGGCGGCGACGGGCTGCGCTCCGTGGGCTTTGCGGGACTGCACCTGAGACGGCTCCGAGCCTAGCCGGTACTTCGAACTTCGGGTTTGAGTTGATCAGGCCTGATGCAGGAATGCAAAGCGGAGGACGGCGAAAATCCAGACGGTTCCACTGCCGAGCGCCCGGCTCGAAGGCCCTCTTCTGTAAGGCGACGGCCTTTCGGACTCTCAGGTGGCAAAAGAAGCTTTTGGCACACTGTCGGACCGTGCCGTTCGGCCTGGCCCGGCCCTCCACGCAGCAGCCGGCGCTCACGGTGAGACCTCGGAGGGTCGCATGAGGATTCAAAGCTTGCCAGCTCGAAGACATGGAAATCAAAAAAGCAGAAATGGCAAGAACCTGAAACAGAAGCGTCAATCCTGCATGCACTTTCGCCCTCGGATCTGGGGCAGATGCCAACAGTTGGATGTTAGCTTCACCCTGCACCGGTGCGCACCTGAGATTGGAGTCCGAATGAGCTGCACCCGATCGAGGCCGGCCCGAACCTAGAGCATTCTAGGTGTATTCAAGAGAAGCCTTTGAAGCCTGACCAACGCTGCACCAGTCCCTCCTCGCCTGGCCTGGGTAGGCCCACCCGGGCTCCTGCTGTAGGAAGTCTTTGGGGCCTCAGCACGAAGGCTGGGTTGCCAAGCTGACACAGCCACACGAGTCTTGGAAGCCGACCCGAGCACCTGAGCGCCGTAAGCTCGCGACCCATCTGGTGGATGATTTCGACAGTGTTCCCTTCTCTGCGCTCTGCAGACCTTAGTTAAAGAGGCCTCCTAGCCGAGGTCCTAGCCGTGCAGAATAGGCCCCCAAACAGGAATTGGCCGGCAATCCCCGCGCTTAGTGTATCTACCAGAGGTCAGAGCGGATCCGGAATCTCCAATGATCACCACAATGACACACGTGGGGCCAAGATCCCCACTCGGAAGGCCCAGTCCCTTGCGTGCCGGCACCCTGCAAGAGCTTGGGGTCTTGGAGGCTTGAGGCTCACAAGATAACTAAACGTGGTTTTCTCGAGGCTTTCGTCGAGAAGCCTTACCTGTGGACTTGAGTCTTGGGGCAGGTGCCCGCTTCCAGCTTGCTTTGCTCACCAGCTGTTCGCGAATGCCAGCTGCTTCCCCTAGTGGTATGCCAACGTTGTGTCAAGAATAGGTTTGAGCTCCGAGAGGCTTGTGGAACTACCCAGCCCCAAGAAGAGCCCAAAGCTCCAGTTGCCTCGTGCCGGTGGATCGTAAAGTTGGGATCCCACACCGAGGCACCTGTACGAGGAACCTGCGCCAGGTCGGTCTGGGACATGGGCAAGTCTGTGTCGGGCTGAGGCTCCATGCCGTGCAGCCCTTGGGCGCTGCAGACGTTGTGATGGTTTGCCAACCCCAGAAAAGCCTACAAGTTGCGATGATAGCAAAGGCCTGACCAGCCAGAGCTCAGACCCTTGACGATTGATGGGTAGCACACCCTGCAATGTATCCTGAGCATCCTTGGAAGTCCAACGTGCCAGTCTGTGGTATCAGGATACGCTCTAGCTGTCGTCCACATCTTCTGCTCGGTACACAAATACAGTTTTTAGAGTGATCTTCACTCTTGCCCGCTCGTCCCGTGAAGCACTTCTCCAAGCTCATCTACAGAAGCGATGCGGCCTTGTCGGAAAAGATGTCCCAGCCTGCGGGCTTTGACGATAACAACCCAGACGTGGTGACAGGTGCCGGGAACGACTTGATGCAGCTTTCGCGAATCTTCAGATCAAATCTGATGCCCGAACCCTGCAAAAAGACACTTGCCTAGAGCGCCCATCAGGGCAGCCATGTCCGAGACGCGGACCTAGAACCCAGGAGTCCGAGGTCACTGTGCGTCCATGCAAAGAAAGGTGCTAGAAGACTCATCGGCACGGAACCTCTAAGTACTATACTCATCCACAATCGCCTCTGAAGCTTGGGAAGCAACTCAACTTTGGGTGCCTTTCATGCAACTATCAGTTCATGGCGGATGCCCTCTCGCAATACCAATGGCACTTTGGCGTCCCTTCCCAGCTTTAATACGCAGTGTAGCGTGTCTGTCTTGAGAGCCGCACCCGCACACTGTCGCCCTTGCGGAACGAGCGCAGCAGCCGAGTGACTTCCTGGCGGAGACGACGCTTTGGCCAAAGGGAGAGCTTAAAACACTGAAGGGGCTCCGAACGTCCAAGGCCAAGTCAAAACGCGATAGGTCAAGGTATCTTAGTAGCAGCTATCCAGTTCTGAAGTTCAGCCGCACTTCCGCGCGCAGACCTGAACTTGTCAAAATAGATCAGAGTGCGATTGCTGATTGATGTCACATGGAAGGCAGCATTTTCACTTGGAGCTTCCTTCGCCGCCAACTTCGAACGAGATTCGCTGACTAATCGAAGCTTCCTCTACAACAGAAGTAACTCTAGTTCTCGATTTGCAGGCACACTCTCTAATTTGTACAGAAAGGATTTGACTGCAGATGTCACAGCTTCTACTGCTCGTGGGTGCACTTTGTGTCGAATTTGCTGGCGAAAGCTTCTTCTGATTTGTTCGCGGTACTGCTCTTCCTGCTCTTGACTGTCGAACAAGGTATTGCATCATCTGTTCAACCGAGTCAGCTGTCTTCTTGCCTGGGCACCTTCTGCGTGCTGCGCTAGCCCCCTACAATACAGGACGATAGCGTGATTGTCCAATCGTTCGCCACATCTCACGACGTGCAACTATGGGAACAACTGTTGCATGCACCTGCACCGGCAGTGAAACCCATTTCAAGTCACGTCGTTGTTGGAAGTGTGATCTTGTCACATGTTTGATCATATTTGGATCTCTTGCAGAGGCTGGCAGCACTCCAACAAGTGTTCAGACGCTGGAAAACCACACACACACACACACACACACACACACACACAGCTACGAGTACGATCACTTGGAGCAAACACATGCAGTCACGACGGGTAACAAACTAAACACTACATGATGCCATACGTTTCTGCTCCCCTTCCGGTTGCACAACAGAGAGAGAGAGAGAGAGAGAGAGAAAACAAGAAAACAAAAAAGCAAGTTTCGCAGCCTCCTGTTTGCGCTGCCGGCTGCCGATCCACTTGGCAATCAAGGTTAAAACCTGCAGCACAGACACCTCTAATGAGGTCGCTGGTGAGGATGAAGGGTTTTAGGTTTGAGTTGGCGAAGATGACACAGTGTTACAGCATGTTACAGCCTTAAGCTCCTTGCTTTCTGACTTTTGGTATAAGCCCTTGTGCTGCTTCGGGGGCACAGATGTCCATGTGCTCTTGTGGCAGTGCACAGTGCACGCTCAGAAACTCCTCTCTTCTGACCAAGCGCTTCCTTCCCCATGGGTCAAGGCGGCCAAGGCCAGGCCTCCGCTTCCGAGGCGATGGGCAGGTTGTCCTCAGGGAGCGAACAGCGAAAACTGCGACTCCAGACCAGCTGTAGCACTGTAGCTCCCAAGCGGATCCCGCGGAGATGAGACCCGGCCTGTCGCAAGATGCTCTCGACCAAGCCGATGGGCAGCTCTTCCCACCTGTGCTCACAAATGATGAAACGAAGATGTGCTCTTGCGGCTTGCTTGGAAGCTTCCAGGTTCCTGACACTGCCAACGACTCCAGGCTCAAGTTGCTCCACCAATAAACATTCGACACCGCAGATTTTCTAAGCTTGCATTCCTGAAGGCCCAACATCTTCAACTTTGTTCAGACCCCCCCTGGCAGGCCTTGGGTCGTCAGTGATGGCGCACAAGTTTCTGCGCAGGAGCATCTGTTTCATGAGCTGGTCCTGGCGACCACACAAAGCACAGCAAAGCCTTTTCAAGGTCCAAGGAGTGCAGTTACGTGGCTGAAGTTCTGAGGTGCACGTCAGCTACCCGACGCCACACACAAGCCGGATGGCGCGGCATGGAAGCATGTTGCACATGCTGTGCTCGACTCCTTTGTTCGTCACGCGCAAGTGGTGAGGCGAGTGGTACAAATGCGACCATTTCCTGCCTGGCTACTCCGCCTTTAGGCACCTGCAGGAAGTCCCGGTGTCGAGAGCATAAAACGAGAATAGCCAAACACCTTTCGAGAGAGCCATCTCTGAGCACACCTGAGTGCCATGTCCACTTCTTCCTTGCTCCGAAGTCAAAAGGCTGAGCAAGGAATATCCAGCAGCTGACAAGGAGCCTCACAAGTCTCTAAGTAGATTCTGCGAATCCAGAATCCTTTCTGATACCAAGTGGGCGCAGCACCTACACGCCTACCTCAGCCCGCCCCTTGGCTGATCGGGGTCCAACCTCAGCAAGAGTCTCGCAAAAGGGCAACCCGGCTATCTTCGGAGTACATTCGTTAGAGATCCCAGGCGCCAAAAAAGGGTTTCATGTTGAGGGGATGGAAGGAGCCCAGAAGAGGCTGAACACCGAGCCCGGACGCCCAAGGAGCTCGGGTGCACAGCCGGCCTGAGTTCTGCAGCCGACCAGGTCCGAGCCGACTCAGCAAATCGAATCTTCCCTCTTTCGACACAAGTTGGTCATCTAAGCCGCGCGGGAAAACGGCCTTTGTGAAGACTGCGCGTGAGAAGAGCAAGGTCTCGAAGCAAGTTCTCTCTGGCGTTACATGACGATGTGGAGCTCTGCGGAGTGTGGTTCAAGATAATTTGCTTCGAGACGAATGTGGATCCCGGAGCTCGCGCTGAAGCTCGGGGAGCCCTTTTGCACACGACCTGAGGGAGCTCCGACTGAATCCCAAAGATACTTGGAACTCCCAAGACACTTAGAAGCAACATCCTATCCCTGGGACACAAGATGATGAAGCTATCTGCTCATGCTCCCTCGGTCTCGGAGGCAGGAGGCGACTCCGGCAAAGGCTACGGAAAAGCTCAAGGGGCCCGCGGTTTGAGTTCAAACTGCTTTTGGCCTTCGGGCCAGTCGCCCAAGAAGCCTTCGAAGTTAGATTTCTCGGCCCGATGGGTTTTTCCGAAGATCCCACACCTGGGTTTCTTCCCTTCCCGTTCCGTGTGACGCTGACGCTCCCAGCATGCGACCTGCTTTTCATCAGCAGACTGTGGCGCAGCTCAGTCGCCCCAAGCTCGAAGATGCCTTTGCCCAACGGCTTCGGGGACGTGCTTGCAAAACTGTAAAACCGTAACCAAGCAGATCTTGCCGGAGGCATCTCTCAGGACTCGACTCACTTGCCCGGAGGACCTCTGCCTCCGGGAACAATCTCAAGGCAAACCACCTCGGTCAAAGTTGAAGGCAGGCAGAGTACAGTAGGTAAGCTTTTCTACGATCCTGGGTTGTGGACGATTTCCAACTAGGACTAAGCCAATGCTGCGGCAATGTGCGACTGAGCAGCGAATGTCTGGGATGCCTCATCCAGGACTTCCTCATGCTGTCGGAAGAGAAAGCAGCTTAAGGTCTGTGGCATTCAAGCTGAACGCTGGCGGTCACGAGAAAGCAGTATCTTCGGGCCACTGAGCTTGAGATGTCTGCTCACAATTTCAACATCGCCAGGTCCCGCAAGCTTCTACGAGCGGGAAATGTGGCAATGGGTTGTGGTTGCAGCTAGAGGCGAGTCTCTCAGTGGGGCTGTTTGGGGCGCTCTCTTCAACCCTGCACCCAAAAACGTTGCCGGAACTGCCAAGCTCAAAACTTGCTGGTGCTGAGATGCTGTGAAGTCCCAGATATGCTCGTCCTTCGTGCGCCCCTCCTGACTTCAGGGTTTGGGCGCAGCTCGAGCAATTTCGTGTTCCAAAGGGTTTCCAACTAAGGAAAGTGGGGAGGCAATGCTCGGATAACGTCAGGAAGACCGTCGAAGCCACTTTCTGATGCTCCAAACCTTTACAATGCCCTCTCCGATTGCGAGATTACATTACAAGAGTGGATATCCTCGAGGCCGGTGACGGCACTTTGGGAGAAGTTGTGGTAGCGAGGCCCCCGAGGACCAACCTTAGTGTGCTAAGGCATGCTGCAGAGGGCTGGGGTCGGAGCAACTCTGCCGCTTCGGTACAAGACTTCAACCACGCAACCGACAACAACTTTAGCACTCCGAAGGCTACACGCATTTGGATGTCTAACATAGGTCAACCCTTTGAAGCCATCATTCGAACAGTGGCGGTCTTGTTGCCGCTGCCGATGGAGATCCGGAAGGAGACCCACCTGCAAGCATCATGACACGTGCCGGAAAAGCACCTCGGCAGCATCGAAGCTTTGAGATCCCATCCGGTCCAGAAACCCCTAAATCCCTTAGAAACAGCACCGAAGCCGCTCGAGTGCAGCCCAAAGGGCGCGACGGACTCCTCCAGCTCCGCCTCGCACTTGATCTGCACGTAGCCTCAGCATCGCGCTCAAGTTTCCCCCCTAAGCACTGCTTCGAAGAAAGGTCGAACCGAACTCCGAAGATCCTTGCTTGGACGCAAAGGCTTCTTCATGTCTCGACTTGTCCCGAAGCCCCCATGCGCCAGTGCAACGAAGCATCCTCTGCCTTTCGACTTCCTGGCCACAGGATCTGTTGGCATGAGTTAACCACCCATGACATTTCGGACTCAGCGTCCCCATGCAAGTGCAGCTTCGAAGACATGCTCTGTTCAAGCCACACGTGCACAGGGAACTTCCTGACTTCGGACAGGGTCGGATCGCCGAGCCGGGCCTGAAGCAGCAGCCGCCCTTACCTTCGTTGAGCATCTCCGGGTAAATCATCATCTTGAACCTCACTCTTGTGTTCAGCAAAGTAGTGGGAGGACCATGTGGGCTCTTCCGAACAATTCAAACACATTCGCGTCGAAGTGCCCCAAGCTTCCAAGAGGGTCCTATCACCAAGCTCCTGAAACAAAGACCTTGAAGACTATGCAGCCGCCACCTCTTTGCAGCTCACGAGACGTGACTGCCGGATACTTGGGTCCGAAAGAAAGCTCAAACGGCGGCGAGACCTCAGTGCGCGCAGGGAGTTTCAGCTCTGATCTGCCCTATCCTTGCGGACAGAACAGAATTCGCCATGGCAGCGTGGGGCGCAGAAATCTGCCGAGCTGCCGTTTGCTTCTCGTTGCCCCTCAGCTTTCGCCCGTCCACGGTCCAGTGCCTCAGAAGCCACATGAGGAAATACCCGAGTAAACAGACAGACAGCTAGATAGATAGATCGATACATAGTTTTTCAATATTTTTAAGTCGCTTTTCACCAAAAACTGTCCAGCCTGAGATGCGAAAACACTGGCAGCGATCGAGGGCGGGGCCATGGTTGCCAGGTTTTTGAATTTTGGGAAGGTTCGATCTGGCGATGTTTTCACAGGTCGGGCTTTACGAGTATTGTGGAAATTGGATCCCTGCCAATGTTTTAGCAACCTGTGTATCCCCACCCCCATGATCGACTCCTTTCCAAGGAAGCGGATATGGATCATCGGGGGGATGAGCATACATGCAAATAAATGATGATATGATGATATGTGTATATATATATATATATATATTGTCATTTATTTACTTGTTTATTTGTTTTATTTATCTTTATATAATTATGTGGCTTTGCGAATGTTCCTGCTCTGAAACCAATGTTCCGGTGGCCATCCTGTCAGTGCCGCATTCCAGAACCCTTTCCCCCACGTTGACTCGTCAAACTCTGCAGATAGCATGAGGTTGGTGTGCTTGAAATGCTCACAGCAGGGTCAAGTCTGCCGAATGTTCCACTTTTTAGCTCCCACAGCCAAAACCGACCGAAGTCCTGTAGAAAGCGAGAGATAAAAGCCAACCCCTGGCCATGTTACACGCGGAAGAAGCCGCTCTTCACACCTGGGCCAAAGGAAAGGAAGCAGACATTGGATGTCCATCCCTAAGGCAAAGCACACCTCTACCTCTACCGTGGGCTCCGAAAGCCAGGAATCTGGTTTGCACATTTTTACAAGCTGTGTTTCCCCGACACCCCGAATCCATGAAGCTCCAGCCGAGTAGCTGAAGGCCCTGGTGAGAGTCTGTGGCTGGGGTGGCGCCGTGGAGTCTCGGCCTCTGCAGGAGCTTTGCGGCTGGGAGGGCCGGGATTCTTGGCACTGCTCGCAAAAAAAAGAACGGCGCGCCGCGGCACCAAGGTTGGGCCGTGCAAACTCCATGTCAGGAGTGGTCGGTTTCTGCTTTGCTCAATCTTTTGCTGGCTCTTCGCAACATAGCGATTCGGTTGGTCGTTGGAAGCTTGCGGCAACGACGGGGAGCAAAGTGCAGTGAAAAAGTGTCATAGCTTATTTCATGATCAACATCTCACAGGCGACCATGTCCGTTCCTGCCTGAGCTGGACACCGCCATCGCCGAGTTGGGGGCCGACGATCCGTCGGTGACCTGAGCTTCGCAGGCACCGAACTCCGGCGTCTCCGCTGGACTTCGAAAGAAATCCAGACATCTCGAGCCGTGCGGCGATGACGCTGTTCTGCGCATTCTGCGGCATTGGGCCCACAGGGAGGGGGCCAACACCGGCTACGGGCCACCTGCATGGCACTTCGAGTTTAGATTCGATGAAAAGCAACTGCGCCATTCGGGTTCCTTGGCTCCAACCCTGCGTCTGAGAGTCACCTCGCCCCCCGATCGGGCTGGCGAACGGGCAGCTCCGGCAGCGGGGCCCCGTAGCCCCCTCCGGGGGCTCCGGGGCCACTAGGTCCCGTACCTGCTTGCTGCGGTGCGAGGCTGAATAAACCTTGCAGGTCATCAGCCCGGATTACCCTCTTCAACTTCCTTCCCTGTGGATCTGGCCTTGTTGCTTAGGGAACTAAAGCACCCCCTCCAAAATCTTGCGTCGCGATGGTGCTTGAAGGGCAAAGCAGGCGCCTCCGCCGGCATTCATTGGTGCCGTTGGTGCCGGTGCTGGTGCCATCGCGACGGGCATGAAAACCATCCTGCAGCGAAGTTTATCCCAAAGAATCGTCCTTGTAAGGTACCTGATTTTGCGACGAGCAATTGAATGTGGTCCAACAATTCCGCGTAGTTTGTGTGTGGAACACGGAAGCAGGAAGGCAATGTTGCGGCCATGACACGTCTGCATTGGCATCTGCTGTTGCGGCATCTGCTGTTGCGGCATCTGCTGAGGCTGCATCTGCTGCTGCGGCATCGGCTGCTGCGGCATCTGCTGTGGCATCTGCTGACCTGCGACTCAGCAAGTGTTAAGCCTGTAAGCTCAGTGACAGTGGCTCCACAACAAAAATTATGAGAGTCTGAGGCCGAGACCCTGCGGCATCTGGGGCATCTGCGGCTGGGGCATCTGTGGCATCGGCTGTGGCTCCGCTGCCTACAGAGACGGCATGAAACTATATGACGCTTGCAGCCTTCCGCCTGTGTGAGTCGGCCTGCACTGGCTGGTAAGGCACCGGATTCGGCGCCGACACCGGGCCTGACTCTAGCGCAAGGGCTGTTTCAAAGCTCAAACTGCCCGATTCAAGAGCTTTTTGGGTCGGCTGAAGTTTCCTGACTCTTGACAGTCTTGACACTTTGAGGAGACCACCAGACGCAGGCGCAGCACTCGGAGCGGAGCCGGCCTTTTGCCCACACAGTCGGTAAAGGCTCGCGGTTTTAGCAGAAAGTCCGGCAAACCCTCGTGTGCCTGGCCGCGGACGAGGTGCCCTGCAGCACGGGATACTTCGGATCTCGATCGTCACCAAGTGCACACAGGACCCCGGGCCTGCATCTTCGCCGACCCAGCCCCACTGAACGGGCTCCTTTTTGCGGGGAATGTGGGTTTGGCAGCAGTGTGAAGATGGAGAGGGTCCAGGAGTGTCTTGCCCATGGAGATACGGCGAATTTGGTATATCGCAGCATCACCTACTAGCTCTCGCTCTCTCTGCATCATCTTCTGTCCCGCACATCCGCAGTTCCCAGTCCTCGAGCCATTCGTGGGTAACCTGGAAATCAACGGCAGAGTCTCTACGCCTGGCAAGGCCTGTCTGACTTGACGCCCCAGCTCAGAGCCATCGGGCACTCGCTTTAATCCTTTCATGCCGGAAAGCCGTTCTACAGATTTGATCGTCTTTCTCATCGAGGTCATCTGAGCCCGGCGAGATCGGTGAGGCCTCGGTCCCCGCCAGAAGCAAGTCCCACCCCACAAGCAGATCCTAGGGCACAGGGCTCAGGGCTCCGTGCAGCGCCCTGGGGACACCAAGGCCGCCTGGGAGCCCCGACTCCTGCGACTTCGCCGTAGGGGCTGGCCTCTGCAGTGCAGCGGCTGCCACAGAACGGCTCGTTTTTTCCTCTGAAAAACGGCAGCCTCCTGCTCTTCTTCCTCCTCCTCCTCGGACTCAAGGTCCTGCAGAGATCAGTCGTGGGCTAGTCGGGTTTGTTAGTTGCATGTTTTCCGAGCAATTCACCGGTAGTGGTGCCATTGAGGCGCAAAGGCAGCAAAGAGGGGATGAAAGCAAGCAGCACTGCATCAGTCTTGGGCCAGTCCAGTCCGGCTTAGCACACGGAGGCAAAGGCAGCAAAGAGCCCAGGCCCAAGGTCCTCTGCCCAGGGACCGCCGCTCCCCGGCGGAGCCGTCTTCGACCGCACGATCTCGCCTGCGGGGTCAGGCGGGTCCTCGATGTCCAGGAAGGTGTTTCGTACCTGGGCTCAGCGGGGGACCTCCAAGAGCTTCAAACACATCAGTCACCATATCTGCAATGACAGACATGGCATCAGTCTTCATCTTGGGCCAGAAGTCCTCCCCTTGAAAATCTTCACATCTGGAAGCTGCCGCACTGGAAGCAAGATGTCCAGATTCCGAAACCCTAAAGCCCTAAAATCCCACCCGACGGATCTGAAGCGCTTGGCAAGTCTTGGGGTCCTGCCAGAACCATTGGACCACCACCCTGGTGGCTTAGAGATTTCCAATTTGGGGTCTTGGAAGGGTTCACTGGCACGACCAGGAGGACGAGGCGGACAAGGACCACGAGCATCTCTCTCAACGGCTGCATCCGGCCTCGAATTGGGGTGGCTTCATGTCGCTCGCCATGATGAGGTCCCCTCCACGCCCCAAGGTGCACGGAGGGGTCTCTTTGCTGTGGCGCTTGAGCCAAACAGTCGCAGTTTGGTCAAAGAATCGAGGCGAGATGTGTTGAGAGAGTTGGAGATTGAGCAGTGAAACTGCTGAGACCACGACATCTTCGATTAAAATTACAACTTGTCGGGAGGCCATTGATTCGCACGGGTACTACAGCTTCCAGCCTTGAGTTTGTCTTGGTACGTGGAGTTGAGGGTTGTGATGTCATAGAAGGTGAAAAACATGTCCTGGCGACAAAAGCACGGGACACATCTGCCAAAGCACAGCAGGCAGTCACACCGAACTGAAAGACGCTCCCTCCGATGCCGATTGTCCATTTATTGCAAATGGAGAGCAATTGCCAATGACTGCGCCAATTACTCAACATGCACGACGAAATCATGCGTTTTTCTGCCACCAAGCCACTGCATCAAATTTGTCCTGCATGGGCAGCTGCACGGGAATACATGAGTCCAAAGCAGAAGCTGTGATGCAGGGCCAGGCTCACTGGTCAGCCCCAGTGTCCTTGATATACTTGAGACACAGGTCCACAACCTCATCTATGCAGTACCTCAGACAGCAGGCGAAGGCAAGCCAGGTGGCCAAGCGGCCAGTGCATCCACGGGGCAGGCAGGAGCAAACAGCTGCTGTATACAGCCTAGAGTGTGCAATGGATCCAAGTCTGCAGCTTGTCTGCCAAAGTCAGGAGGCCTCAGGCGGAAAGGTCAAACTGCTTTGGGATGCCGTCCGGCTGGTTGGACACTTTAACTTTGCATGTTGCTTGGAACCTTCTCAGTGTCACCGTTCTCGGAACGGCCACATCTGCGTGCAGACCGCCACGACTCAATCCGGAAGATGAGCAGAAGACCAAGGACTGTGTGCTCGTTGATGTCAACTTGGTTCCTGGCTATACGACAGAAGTCTTGCATGGTGAAGTCAACCCGGCAAACATCGGATGACCTATGTGGCAGTTACCAGACAACCACCTGCAAGGCATTGCATCTAACAGGCCGGAGCATCGTGTAGATGAAGCGCAGCAGCTCAACGAACTGAGGCAAATTGCAACTGGTCACCATCAAATACAACAGTCAAGCGACCTGTGACTACCCATTTCCTTGCAGAAAAATTGAGGAACCTGATGCAGCCAGCTGCTAGAGCTTAAGGAGTCTAGAGCCACTTCACAGGAAGACCGCATGCACCGCCGGCCTCGGTGCGCGGTTCGGAGATCAAAGCCTGCAAGAGAAGCGCGGAAGGGTTCAGTTGAGGGCTTCGGCTTGTTCCCGCCTGTGCGCTTAAGAAAGCTTCACTTTACAACCCCTTCAGTTATAATCACCGGAAATCACACATGATGCAAGCGACAGGATCGCAAGGCGACGATTTAGCAGAAGTCAAGTGTGACAGCCCTGAATACTTCAACTTTTCCACGACTCTGGAGAGGTGGCAGCCGGCGAATCTCCGGCCTCGCCTCGCGGGTGATGCCTTCTCGCAAGGGCGTCTCTGAGCCTGGAGCTTCGAGGCTGACAAGCAGGCATCGCTGTGTGAGGCCCGCCGGGGTGCAGGGAGAGTCCTCCAACTCGGTGCCGGGCCAAGCATCTTGTAGAAGTAGGACTGCTGCCTGTGCTTGGGTTTTTCGGTGAGGGCGAACAAGATTCACAGTCTGAAGCTCGTCTAGGGCTTCTGCTCCTGGGCCAGCGCCCAAAAGGCTGAGTGCACCGCGTGAGGATCAGCGAGTGACAGCAGAGGTGGAGGGCATCTGGCTTGCAGCATGGTGTATATGGTAGGAAACTTCTCACAGACTTCAAGATCCTTGATCCTGTGCCTGAAGACTTGTGGAACCTCAAGCATGAGGGGCTTCAGGCCTTCGGCCCCCATGGGATCTCTGGCATCTCGTGGATCAGTGATGACCAGGCGTGTGTCCCCGGAACCTTCGGTTCTGGGCTCGTTGCAAGAAAACAGGAGAACGACATCTTCTAGAGTTCTGCTGACGATGTTCTAAGATGACCCAACGAATGCACCAGCAGCCGAAGCAGCTGAGTGCATCACACCGAGAATCTGCTTTCAATCGTTTCAAGCTGGAGTTAGGAGTGGGATCTTTTCACTTGCTACACCCGGTGCCCGGGCAAGCTAAGTTACAGAGGGTACTAGGGTACTTGTTGCATTCGGCATCCGCCTCTGCAAGCAGACCCTCACCCAGATCTTTGGCCCTGAAATCTGCGACCTCCAGATTGGAAGATCTCCTCGAACAACTTCGCCATGATGCTGAAGGACCGCGCTGGGGGGTTGAAAACTGCTACTTCTGGGTTTCCGGGACAACTCCTTTCTGTGGGGCTGAGGCTCAGGGTTGAAGGGCGAGATCACGACATGTGAGCACAGGAAGGTGTGACCAGGCCCATAAAAATAATACGAGGAGCGGCAACCGATGTGACCATATGAAACGCGTCGTGTCTTCCACTCACAGCTCTTGCGGTGAGCCGACTTCGACGAGAGCACAGGTGAGCCAATCATCAGGCTGCAGAAGATGCACAGGTACCCTCGAACAGCATCTTTTCCGGCACAGATCACCAACCAGAGCTTCTCTGCTTTGCAGAGGCTGCTAAATCCTGCTTTCCGGTCCAAGGTCTTCGCGGGCACATTAGTGCCGCTGCGACCTGAACCTGAGCGAGCACGACATCTGAGAGCAGAGGCTCGATTGCGCAGTCTTCTCTTGAGGCCAGGAAGCTGCAAACCTCGAGTGCACTGGTGGCTTGGAAAAGGACTCCTCAAGTTGCACGGTCAATAACTGGCCACGAGTCATGAACCTGCACTGCTGCATGCGCCCGAGCCCTGTGGCCTCCAGCCTGTACGTGACGGAATCTTTGGGGCCCACGTGCAGCCTAGCCCCAAAGCATATATCAACAACCTACAGAGACCGAGACCGACACAAGAAAACGCCGAGGCTGGCCATCGTGCAGGCGTTCAGCCCTGGCTGCAAGTCATCATCAGCGGTATCACGAATAAGGAGTGCGTGGAGTAGTAGGAGCAGGGGAGTAGGAATAGCAGTAGGAGTAGGAGCAATAGGAGTGGCAGGAATTGTAAGCGGCAGGAGTAGTACCAGCGGAAGCAGACGTAGCAGCGCTAGAAGTAGCTGCAACAGTAGCAGTAGAAGCAGTCCTGGCAGGAAGTGTTAGCAGTACACGTCGTCGGTGTTCGTGGTCATCCTAGTAGTAGTAGTTAGTATTAGTATTAGTATTAGTATTAGTATTAGTATTAGTATTAGTATTAGTATTAGTATTAGTATTAGTATTAGTATTAGTATTAGTATTAGTATTAGTATTAGTATTAGTATTAGTATTAGTATTAGTATTAGTATTAGCATTAGTATTAGTATTAGTATTAGTATTAGTATTAGTATAAGTATTAGTAGTAGTAGTAGTAGTAGTAGTAGTAGTAGTAGTAGTAGTAGTAGTAGTAGTAGTACTAGTAGTAGTAGTAGTAGTAGTAGTAGTAGTAGTAGTAGTAGTAGTAGTAGTACTAGTACTAGTACTAGTACTAGTACTAGTACTAGTACTAGTAATAGCAGTAATAGTAGTAGTAGTAGTAGTAGTAGTAGTAGTAGTAGTAGTAGCACTGGTAGTAGTAGTTGTTGTTGTTGTAGTAGCAGTAGTAGTAGCTGCGGTAGCAGGAACAGTAGCACTGACAATAGGAGTAGTAATAGTAGTCGTCGTCGTAGTAGTAGTTGAAGTAGTGGAAGCAGTATCAGTATAAGTAGTAGAAGTAGGAGAAGTAGGAGAAGTAGGAGAAGTAGTGGTGGTAGTAATAGAAGAAGAAAGAAGTAGGCGAATAACCAGAAGAGGGATTCTGCACAGGAAAACCGGCCAAGTGCTTCAGTTGGAGTCTAGAAAGAAGTAGTAGTAGTAGTAGTAGTAGTAGTAGCAGCAGGAGTAGTAGTAGTAGTAGTAGTAGTAGTAGTAGTGGTAGTAGTAGTGGTGGTAGTAGTAGTAGTAGTGTCGTACTATTGTAGTAGTATTGTAGCAGCAGAGGCAGTAGCAGTAGCAGTAGCAGCCGAAGTAGGAGAAGAAGCAGAAATAGAAACGGTAGTAGCAGCAGCAGAAGCCCAGCCTGCTGTCGCGGTATTCGTAGTGGTAGTGGTGGTGGTAGCGGTAGCGGTAGCGGTAGCGGTAGCGGTAGCGGTAGCGGTAGCGGTAGCGGTAAGCGGTAGCGGTAGCGGTAGCGGTAGCGGTCGCGGTCGCGGTCGCGGTCGCGGTCGCGGTCGCGGTCGCGGTCGCGGTCGCGGTCGCGGTCGCGGTCGCGGTCGCGGTCGCGGTCGCGGTGCGTCGTGGTCGGGTGGCGGTGCGGTGGCGTGGCGGTTGGCGGTGCGGTGGCGGTGCGGTGGCGGCGTCGGCGGCGGCGGCGGCGGTGGGCGGCGGTGGCGGCGGTGGGGGCGTGTGGCGGGTGGCGGCGGTGGCGGCGGTGGTGGCGGTGGCGGCGGTGGCGGCGGTGGCGGCGGTGGCGGCGGTGGCGGCGGTGGCGGCGGCGGCGGCGGTGGCGGCGGTGGCGGCGGTGGCGGCGGTGGTGGCGGTGGCGGCGGTGGTGGCGGTGGTGGCGGTGGTGGCGGTGGTGGCGGTGGTGGCGGTGGTGGCGGTGGTGGCGGTGGTGGCGGTGGTGGCGGTGGTGGCGGTGGTGGCGGTGGTGGTGGTGGTGGTGGTCGTGGTCGTGGAAATGGTCGTGGTGGTGGCAGTAGTAGTGGTCGCGGTGGTGATGGCGGTGGTGGCGGTGGCGGTGGTGGTGGCGCTGGTGGTGATGGTGGACGACGACCACCAGTAGCAGCAGCAACACCACCGCGGGCATCACCTGCTACCAACAAGAATAAAGAAGAAACATGCACAAATGCACGAAACATTTTGCTGGTAAGAAGCTTAGAAGTCGTGTCCAATATCATACTACTGCCAAGCAACTCAGTGAGTTCTTGAGTGTAGCAAGCACGTAATGAACCCAACAAGAATGTACGAATAGCATGAACGACACGAGTTCGATTCCCTTGAAGTGGTTTGGCCGCAGTTGTCGTGAAGCGGCATTCAACGGACGGACGATCTCCAAAGGTCTGTTGGCACAACTTACGGTAGTGCGTTAGCTAACCTTTGATATCGGAGGAGCTAAGGAGCCAGGGATGATGATAATCCCTATTGAATAAGGAGCTAAAGAGCCCAGGGAACCCCAAAACCACTGGTTAGTTAGCTCCTCAGGACGGAAGTCTAGCCTTCGACAGACCGCCGCCCTCTAGGCTTGCGTCGATCCCGCCCGATACTATGGAAACACCACATGCCAAACGCAAGGAGTGCTAAGCCCTACGTAACCCGAGCTGGGGCACCCTTGAAATCGCCTGCACGTGTTGGGTCCTTTCCGAACCTGTTTCAGACCGTGCCGGCCGGACACTGGAGGACGCTGCGCCCACGGCATTAGAGCCAACCTCCGGGGTAGAACGACTGCACTCTTGTGCAAAAGAGAGAGAGAGAGAGAGAGAGAGAAAAAAAAAAAAAAAGCGGAAGCGGAAGCGAAAGCGAGAGCGAGAGCGAGAGCGAGAGCGAAGAGAGAGCACATGCAGGCGAGTTGAGCGAGGGCGGACGGACAGGGAGGGTGATTGCCGCGTCGGGATTTTGCAGCCATACCCGGCGGCATATGGGAAGGCAATCCAAGAGCAGGACCAATTGCGACATGTGAATCCATTCCATTTCAGAACATGGTTCGTTTTTAGTTGCTGCATGTCCTCGACATTCTCATGGAGAATTGCAACAGTCATGCTGGTTGTAAACGAAGACTAGTTGCCAGCAAACGGTGGCGAAGCCTGCGAGAGTGTTCCTTGCTTGCGCATCCGCTCCAGCTTGATCTGCGCAGGGGTCTTCTTCTCCTTGGAGGGCAAGTTGCTTGCATTTTGAGCTTGCGGCTGGCGTTTTCATGGCAAAGTTTGCTTCGAAGAAGGCCGCAAAAGACTAGCGATGCATCAATGACTGAGGTTCAAAAGGAATCGGCCAAAATCTACTGCTGTTGCAGGTTTTCGGAAACCTGGAAGCTTGAAACTTAAAACCTCCACATCCGCACACCCGGAAGCATCAAGCCCCAATGTCGACGTCTCCTTGCATTGGTACGTTAAGCGCAAACCCGAGACCGCGGCAAGGTGTGCCAAATGTCTCAGTCAATACTACTGCCACCGTGTCCTCGGCCTTCTTGAGAGGCGTCGGGGTGAAATACGCTGCTTCAAACCTTGCTTGTCTGGCACTCTGGGAGCCACGAACGCTTCATGCAAAGCATGCAAATATTTTTTTCAAGGAAAGTCTCAGGATGCTCCAGTTGCACACAGTTTCTGAGAGCTCAGACTTGTCGGTCGGCCTCTTGTAGGCAGGGTGGTACGCAAACGTGTCATCCTTTTCCCTGGCGGTCAAGACCACAGAGTGTCTCACTTGAGACGACCATGCTAAGCCATGCTCGCCATGAAATTTCTGGGGGTGCCACAGAATGCCAATGGCCTCCTTGTGCTTGGTCCGCACCTCAGAGAGCTCATGGATTTCGCGGCAGAACGGGCTCAGCTCATGGAAGTCTTGGTACCTAACCCGTCGTCGCGAGTAGTTGAACTCAGTTGCTGACCATTTTGTACGTTTCATCCGAGCTGTCCATCAGCTTGCTGTACTCCTTTAGGCACGGAAACCATCATGATCACCGCCATCTCTGACTGGCACCAGCATTATCAGCATCACCGGTGTCGCAGTGTTCGGTCGGGATGGTTTAAGACGATTTGAATCGCTCTTCGTCCAGGGTTTCCGGGCTTCGCAGCTCTGGGGTCCTTATACAGTGCATGCTGTGCCCAAATCGAATTCGTAGGGAAATTCTACATGCTACAATCTCACATCACATGCTGTCTCGCTCTCTTCGGACTGGCAGCCGCAAAAGGCTCAGCCAGTGTGCTACAATCCGCCGGCTCGATATGTCCCGGCCAATGTCCTTGTCAAAGGTCATGGAGCCGGCCTCTTGGGCGCAAATGCTCGGCGAAAAGGACTCACGTGTGGCACTTCTTGGAGCTTGAACCGCATCCATCTGCCTCGTAGCCTTCGACCAGCGCCGCCGCCCGGTCTCTGGCCTTAACCGAGGCATTGCGGCAGTGCAAGGGTCCAGCCTTCTTAGACTCACAGAGAATGAGATGCAGCGAGTCCCGCATTCTAGGGTGTGCGAGCAGACATAGATTGAGAACTGCAGTGCGTCCCGGTAAAGAAGGACATGCCCCTGACACCGAAGAGGCAACTCAGTTTTTCATGCCGTGAGAGGGCCCATGAGAAGCACCAGATCCTTATGCTGCTGGTTAGGAAACTGCTTCTTAACACGACACTCCAGACCTGCCGATGATCCATCCTACGTTGTCACACAGTCAAGATACCAAATTTGGCTCCAAGTGATTTTACCGGAAAAGCTGGAAAGGGGCGCAAGATCGCTCAGTGCAGAGCCTTCTTGATTTCGGCATGCTCCTGTCCAACAATGCAGGAGGTTGTGAAAGCGCACGGTAATGACATGAAAGCGATCAAGTAGAGATGCAACTCTGATGTTCTGCGGGTCCGCAAGGTGCATTGGCAATGAACAGACAGAAACATCGATAGCCTAAGCAAGAAGAGGTGTTTGTTGGAATAGACATGATTCTGCAGACATTCAGGCCGCGTCCGTACCGAAATCACTTGATTTTAGGGGCTCAAAGGGTGCTGATGCAAAATGAACTACAAAGCCCAAAGAAGTGTTGCCGGACGGTTTGCGCTCCTGCTGCAATCGCTTCAGATGTCGGCGCAACTCCTCGGCACCTCTCTCGTCGTCCTTGGGATTCTAGCCCATAAATCCCCAGCACGCATTGTCTGGACTCACTTTCGGGACCAACTCGGGCTACTCGCTCTATGCAGAAGCTCTCATGAAGGGAACATGCCTCCTTGACACATGTTTTTTCTGAAGACCTTGCCTGCCCTGTCCCCTGCACAGATCGTGCAAGCACATCCCACCAGGCTTGCTATGTGGGCCTTCACCTCATCATCTAACTCCTTGAGCTTCATCTGCAGAGTGGCCAGCAAGTGACCTCTGCATCACACTCACGAAAAAACTCGAAGGTTTACCCGTTTCCAGTGTCGATGCCGCTTGCTGAGAGCATCCCTTGCACAGTGCTGGGCACCTGTGGTTTCTGTCTGCAGATCTGCCGCGCTCTGCGGCAGTGGTCCTCGATGTAAGACACAGCTGGAGTTATCGCCCAGATTGAAGACACCGTGCTGCAAAGCTCTGCGCATGTTGTCTTCCAATCGTGAGCTTCAACTTCTGGCCTTCTACCTAGTTTCTAGTGTTGCAGGCGGCCCCTGTGCTGTGCTCATGCTGGCTTAACACCCGCCTCACCGACTCAGCTAAGCACTGCAAAATACTAGCCTCGTCTCGTCTCTGGCAGCATAGCAAAGGATTAGTATAGCAGCAGCAGCAGCAGTAGCAGGAGTAGTATCTGCAGCATCCGAATCTGTCCTTTGGCTCGAGACGCCAGCTGCCCTGCAGCTCGCGCACCTTCTGCCTCTGCGGCCGCACGGTTGGCGGTGCGACTGGCCTGGGAACACTTGTCGACTCTGACTCGCTGTCGGCGGTCGAACGGATCCGGAAGAGCGCCGTTGCAATCTTGTGCAGTCTGTGCAGCCGGGAGGCAGCCCGTGCCTTGGCCTCCTCCAAAGAGCTGCCTGCAGACGTGATTGGAAGTGGGGTGAGATGTCGTCCTGGATGTGACGGACACACCCGATAGGTTTGAATCGTGCAGCTCCGTCGTCCTGAATCCCTCATGAATTGAAGTGGGAAAAAATTCGTCTTGGACAAACTTCCCAGAAACGGAAACGGATGCTGGAAAGCAAAGGACTGCTCTAAACACACTGATGGCCAAGCCTTCGCAGAACCCGAAAACTGCAGGCCTTTGGAGGTGCCGCCCAGCCGAGCTTGTGCGGCCTTTGGAGCTTAGGGGTAACAGGACACAATCGTTTCCGCCTTTAAGCTGGAGTGCTTGAAGCTGTCTGTGTTATGGGACGCTGCTTCGAGGCCTTTCACCGCGTCTAAACAGTGCATGTGCATGACAAGTAAAACCAACCTGCTTAGCTTTTGAAGGACGTGCACTCCCTTTCACTGAAGCATCAATCGGAGATTGCCTGCTAACCGTTCCTGCAAAAAGCAACGATATTTCTTAGCTGACTTCTGACCCCCTCCTAAAAGTTAAACTTTTTGCCTCCTTATTATAGTTCATATAGAAGCCCAAAAAGTTAAAGTCTAAAGAGCCAACCAGAAGAACGCCAAGATTTATTGCATCAACACCGGCTGGGACGTGAGCCATGTTGCAGACCCACAAAGGCAGCCCCAGTGAAACGAAGGCTTTTGAGCACTCGCAGATGTGCGTGGGACAACAGTTTGACTTGCACAACCACCTCACAGCCAAGCCCGAGCAAACTCTTGCACGATATTGCACGATGTTCAACGAGTCGTTCGATCTTTTACCGCGCGGATCTCATATCTAGGGTCTAGGAAGTGGTGCTGGGATGTCGCACCATGAACCAGCTGCGGATGCTCTCTCCATCATGAGGCTCAAAGGTTTCCTCCTTGACGACGCAGAAGCCGAGGCGGCTGTAAAAAGTAACATTCCGCTCGAGCTGCGTGGTCAAAATCACCTGCTATGCAAGGTCAGATGTAAGAAGTCGAAACAAGATGACGTGTTTGCGTTACTTCGAAAAATTAAACTCGGGTGCAAATACTCGGAATGAAGGCCCAGGCACCGCCCGGCCGGATGAGTCTGCTTCGTTCAATGCTGCAGTCAGTGCGGCAGTACCCACTCCGCTGCCTTGGTAATCCGGCAGCACCACCATGCGTTCCAGCAAAACGTGCTTCGGATGTTCGTGCTTCAACCCGTCCAAAGCTTGATCTGTCCACTTCGCGACAGCGAGCATGCGGCGCATGGAAGTCATGCCAAATCTCAGCGGCATTTCCAAAAGCCCGTGGCGAAGCATATCCCAAAGACCAATGCCAGGAACGTCTTCTGCAAATAGCCAGAAACAGCAGAGCAATTGGCCGTCCGCCGAATAAGCACCCTTGAATGTGCCATGACCACGGCCTGTGCGGATGCGATAATTTCGCAAGAACATCCATGTCAAAGCAGCGATGCGGCCCGGGGGATCTGGAAAAATGTAGCGATAAAACGGACTTTCAGCAAAAGCCTTCGCGGCAATGCCTGCTGCCAGAGAAAGCTCCTCTTCCTCCACCAAACACTGCAGCCTTTGCATTTCGCAAAACGAAATCGACACGATGTCTGCACTAGTCGTTAAAGCTGCCAACCTGCTGCGGGCATTCAAGCATCTGATCAAGATGGCCGCAAGATGTAAGAGATTTCCGAACGACGCAAACAACACCGATGTTTGGGTTTTACAATCCTATTGGATGCTAGGCTCAAGCTTGAAAACTTGTCCAACAATTTGACCTGCAGTTCAAAACGCGTGCGGTCAGACTGGTCAATTTTCATGGTTACACCTCGCATCCAACGACGCAAAATTTGCACTCCAACAGGTTTTCCCTGTCTCCTGCCAAACACATGAAGCAGCAAATCAGTCAGTGGATCCGCGATAATAATCGAAAAACGGCGGAAGAAGTGTTGCCATTTTGTCAACAAAATTTCAAACCATTAACCCTGCATAACACGCATTGAAGCCCGGACACGTCAATACAGCATGGACAGAATCTCTCATTCGGCGAAATCGGTGTGATGTGGTGACTACTTCCTTACCGCTTTTCCAAACAAAAGTCTGATTAACAAACTCTGCACTTAGTTGCACTGAGCACACTCCTGGAGACATAAAAAACGAGCTTCTCGTGCTGCCACTTGGGCAGCTTCTGTCCTAGACAAAAGCTGTTGGCCTGAAGCATGCAAGCGTGGATACTGGAAAATCAGATACAGTTGTCCCCCTGCAACCTACATCATGCTGTTTGGTTGAGATGTTTACTTCAAAAATCCTTTTTTGGCGACGATCTGAACCATGTCTGCCGACGCCTGAACGACATATAAAAACACTGTACACCGCGATGCCAGCTGAATGAAACCAACATGTGGGAGCAGAATTGTGCTTTGTCTGCACGACGCGAAACGGAATCCCTAGTCTGTCCCGTGTGTATCAATGTTCAAACCCCTACATCTCGAGTTCAAACGAACCGTGTTGACTCAACGTGATGACACTTCATTCAAGCTCAAACGCAAACAACAGTCCAAGCAAAACTTTTTGATCTGGTGGCATTGATTCAAAAGCACGACTACGTGAACTTCTGCACCTTTCTTTAACAACTTTTCCAATGCAAAACGCGAACATTGCCAGTTGCAAAAAGCAGTGCCAACACAGTCACACACACATATTTTGCGCATAATGTTGCTGTGCTCCTGCTTGTGTCGTTCAACTCATCTACAAACGCCTGCAGCCGCAAATCTGCGCAAAATAAGCAAGACGCTAATGGCAGGTGAGTGCTAGGGCCTCTGCGTGTGGTATTTTTCGTGGCTTTCGGCTAATGGCAGGTGAGTGCTAGGGCCTCTGCGTGTGGTATTTTTCGTGGCTTTCGGACCCGCGCCACTCACTACGCCTCTGAAAATACTTATAAAACACCGAGATGTGGGTTCAAGGACCAAAAAGTCAAGTGCACTGCAAAGAGTCATCGATCAACTGTGAGTCAAGTGCACGGAGTTGAAATGCACAAATTCATCCTTTTTTTGGCGTGAGCGGGCCTCAAAGGCTGCGACTGCAGCTCCCAGTCCCAGTAAACAAGCTAAGGAAGTCAAACAAATCCAACAACACACAGAAACAGCGGTAACAGCGGTGAAACTTACAGTCAGAGCTGCGATATACGCTGCGACATGCAGACGTGGTCGGCAGGGGCCATTCAACCTTAAAAACGGCGCGCACTGCAACACATTCAGCAATTTCTCAACTGGTAAAACCTTGTCCGCATCAATGTTGAAGCCAAGGCATAGAGATTCCAAAAAAATCAGAAGTAGCTTCAAATCCAGCATCAGACGTGTTTTGCAGCACGTCAGATAAAGGAGTGTTGGCGTCCTTTTGCCACTGCCGTTAGGCTGGCAGAGCAAGCAACATGTGCCGGATCGTACGGTCGTGAGTGGCCATGGCTCCAATACGTGCTTTTGAAGCTGAAGCCTTGGCAGAACCACGAATGGGTTGGAGACTCCAACTCCTCTTACTTCAAGATGGGACCGGTCCTTACAAACAAACAGACACGAACAAGCAACAAAAACACCGGTGAAACATAGAGGGAAAACCAATGACTGCAACTACAGCCTTCTCAGCGACCGGATGGAAACCACAAGGGGCCGTCACTCCAAGCAGCCCAAGGCAACAGGTGGAGTTCAAATCCCAAGAACCCCGACTGTAAAAGCGAAGAAAACAAATTAACAACCCTGAACAACAAGCTTACATTGAATGAAACCCTTCTTCCCTGCAAACCCAAAAGCTTGTTCCAATAAGAAGGAAAAAGCACACGAAGACGCTTTAGGGGGGTTAAAAGCGAAGAAAATTTAATGAAACCCTTCATAAAACCCTTCAAACTCCAAGATTTCTCCAATAAGAAGGAGAAAGCTTCACAAAGACGCTTTAAGGATGTTAAAAGCGATGAAAGCAAATCAATAACCTGGAGCAAAACAATAAGAAGAAGGAAAAAGCACAAAGACGCTTCAAGGGGTGTTAAAAGCGAAGAAAATTCAATCAAACCCTTCATAAACACTTCAAGCCCAAAAACTTTTAAGAAGCAGAAAGCCTGACAAAGACACTTTGGGGGTGTTAAAAGCAATGAAAGCAAATGAATAACCTGGATCAAAACAAGCTTCCAAGAAGGAGAAAGCCACATGAAGACGCTTTAGGGGGTTAAACTTGAACAACAAGCCTACATTGAATAAAACCCCTCATAAGAAGAAAAAAGCACACGAAGACGCTTTTGAGGAGTTGTTAAAAGCGAAGAAAATCAATAAAACTCTCTATAGAGTCATAAAAGCCCTTCAAGCCCATTTCTTCCAAAAAAAAAGAAAGCCTCACGAAGACGCCTCAGGAGGAATTAAAAGCGAAAATTGTTTTTCCGCGCAAAACTGTTTCAAACACGACAGGGACGTGTCTTTTGTTTTAAAAACAGATGGACGTGAAGGGCGGCCGCTTTCCAACACAACGGTTGGAAAGTGCGCATCTTTTCAACAGTTGGGCATAAAAGTACTTTAAAACACGACAGGGCGTGAAGGGATATCCTTTCAAACATGACAGTTAGCGTGCCGGGCGTGCCTTTTGAAACACGACAGAAGGGCGTAAAGGACGAACCCTTTCGAACATGACAGCGGCGCATGAAAGACGTCCCTTTTCGATCATTGGACGTAAAGGGATTAAAAGCACCGGGGACCTTGTACAGTCGATCTTGCTTTCTTGATTCTTACAGAGACCGAGCGCAGCAGCCGCTGTCACCAAGGCCCGATCACGCAAAAAAAAATGACCGAGTGGAAAGTGCATCTTTCTCAGTTGGTCAATTAATTCTGCACTCGGGCTGGTCCCAGAAGGGAGGGTTGGAACCCAGGTTAAACCTGGGTTCCAAACTATTTCTTTCTTCAAGAGCAGGTTCGGAACCTGGGTTGAACCTGATTTCCGGAACCTAGGTTTTGAAACTTAGGTTTGAACAACTATTTTTTGGAAGACGGAGTTATTCAAATTCAGGTTTGAACCTGGGTTCGGAACCCAGGTTCAACCCAGGTTTCCAAACCTGACCTTAAAGAAAGAAATAGTTTAGAATCCAGGTTCAACCTGGGTTCCAACCCCCCTTCTGGAACCAGTCCGCTTTAAACTTGGGTTCCAAACCTGGTTTAGAACCTGGGTTTCATACCTGGGTTTAAACCTGTTTTGACCTCGGTTTAAACCTAGGTTTTCAACCCGGGTTCCAAATCTGGGTTGAACCTAGGTTTCAAACCTGGGTTGGTTTTAGAACCTGGGTTTCAATCCTGGGTTCAAATCTGGGTATTACATGGGTTTTTTCCTCGGTTTTTGCGACCCCAATCTGGGTTCGAACCTGGGTTTCAAGCCTAGGTTTGGAACCTGGGTTAGAACTGGGTTTCAAACCTGGGTTCAAACCTGTTATAATCTGGGCTTAAACCTGGGTTTTTAAACCCGAGTTCCAAACCTGGGTAGGAACCTTTCAAACCTAGGTTAGGTTTTAGAACCTGGGTTTCAAACCTGGGTTCAAACCTGGGTTATAACCTGGGTTCAAACCTGGGTTCATTAAACCCGGGTTCCAAGCCTGGGTTAGAACTGGGTTTCAAAGCTTGGTTCAAACCTGGGTCATAACCTGGGTTTTTTTCCTGGGTTTAACCCGGAGTTGAACCCAGGTTCGAACACAGGTTTAACCCAGGTTCAAACCCAGGTTCAAACCCAGGTTAAACCCAGCTTTTCAAACCTGGGTTCGCTGGGTTGTTTTTGTTGTTCTTCCCCCCGTGGGGAGGGAACCTAGGTTCAAACCCAGGTTCAAACCTGGGTTAAACCCCGAGCAGGGAGGGAACCAGGCTCTTCTGCACTGCAGCAGTGTGCCACTGTCCCGCCATATGGATGATACCATGCGTTAAAACCCAAACGCGCCTTGAGCCACACTTCTAGGTTTAGTACAAGGGAGGTGCAAGCCGACCGACCAACTGACTGCCTACGTCAAGCAAGACTGGTCTCTACAGCAGTGAGAGCTAACAGCACTTTTCACACCTTTCTTCGCAACCAACTGTTCACCACGCGCTTGTCACGCAGTGCAAGACTTGAGCCAAGTGAAACCGGGCGCGGACAGAGACTTCAGCACACTCACTTCCGTGACAAGTCCTAAGGACTCCTAACGGCTTCTCTGCACTGGTAACTCTGCTCTCTGGCCCTGGTGTTCCCCGGACTTCGTCTAGAAGTCCGCTCCCACAGCGAACAAACTGAAAACACTCTGATATTCATCATGCTTCAGGAAAACTTCAGGGAAACACCGCTCTTCGTGAAAACTCGTGAGGAAAACTCCGGTTGGACACGCTTCTGGGACTAAGCACTTTCACCGCAAGGTGAGACAGGAAGCGTGAGCGCAGCGACCGACAGACAGACAACTTTTCCCTACTCCTACCGTTCACGGCTACATCTACGGTTCTCTAAAACTCACAAAGGAGAAAACAGAAAGTATTCCTGACCTTGGCGAGACACAGGGGCACCATTATAGGATTGAAAATCACGCTCGAGCGGCGAAG